CATGTGCTGGAACCTGCTGGAAGGATTGGATGGTCAGGTGACCTGCTGTGCATGGCTGTGCATGACCTCATATGACCTCATCCTTGGTCATATGACCTGATCACCTGACTAGGCTGAGTAAGCAAGATGTTCTAGCAGGTTCCACCACAGAGGTATAAATATAAGGCCTACTCTGCCTGGGGACTGTCTCTTAAGACTTGGTCTCTTAGGATCATCCACAGGTACCTATACTGTAGATAGGTCTTGGTCATCAGGTCTACTCCACTTCCTTGTTGCCTGCTTAGACTCTTGGCACTCTTAGGTGAGCAGACTTAGTCAGCCTGTGTTGCCCTAACAGAGACTGACACCAGACACCCACATGCAGTGCAGGAATAGCAGAGTGATAAGTGTCATTGTTATGCAGATGCTGAGTCAGATTGGTAGCATAGAGAGCAGGCAGGAACCATGCCATAACCCTGCAGACATTGAGAGGAATAGCAAGGTGAATATGAAAGACCAGGGGTGTAGTTGGCATGCCAGGAGGGAGAGGAGATGTAGGTTGAACATGGTAGATCCAGTCTCCTTGGAGAGGAGCAGAAGGAAGGGGAGCAGGGAGCAGAGTTTTGGTGAATAATGTTGTCAGGGTGTCAATGACAGCCCCATTGCTCCATGGCCATTTGTGAAAGGTGTCCGGAAGGGAGGAAAGAATGTTCATGTCTGAGTACAGGGTTAGACCAGAGGTGTGAGAAAAACAGCATGATAGAGTGTACCATTTCCCCTCCTCCCAAACTCCTGACAATCCACTACCCAGTTCTGGTCCTTCCTAGCCTGAGCAGCTGCGCTCCTGTGCTTTCACAGCTTGTCTCACATCTGGATACCCATCACAAAGACACAACCAAGTTTGTTGACACCTGCAGGTCAGCCAGCAGGCCATCCACAGCAGGCAGAAGGCAAAAGCAAAGCAAGAACTATTGGCAATACCACCATGTCAATGTGGTGGTTGTAGAACAGTGAAGACAATGTGTTGTCCGTGGGAAAACTTTGCTTGTATGGGTGGAGGCTGCACCACCCACACTCTGACATGTCTCATGGGGGGGGACAACACCACCCTCCTTCGATTACTCTTCATTAGTATATTACCTAAGGCTGTGTATAGGGTCCATTCTTCTTTCCAATGTCTTCTCATAGTCCTTTCGGACCTCGTGCGGAATGTCGTTCGGAGCGTCGTTCGAACGTCGAATGTGGAATCCGAACTCGAAATTCGAATGTGCAGCACAGACGGAGTATGCTTTGATGGCTGTCATTCAGGATTACCGTGGATAATGAGGCTAAGGGTCGTCCTGCGTGCGGTCAGCAACATGGATCTGAAGAGCATCAATGGACCTTTTCCAATTGAATAACTAAAGCTACAGGTTCTCGTGCAGAATCGGTCATCCTCAGGTAACTGACCACAATCTCGCACGCGCCAACATCCCAGACAGACAGATCCAGGCTCACATCTCCCCATCGTCCATCTTCGGCCTCCCCCATCGCCCCATACCCATCTCTTTCACATGCTCCAGAAAGTGCTCCTTGACCTTAACATAAAAGATCCCGTTGAGCTTGGCGCTCGTATATCCCGAATGCACACTCAACGCCATCTGCACTTGATCTGGCCGCAAGGTGGCAAGGAAGGAAGGGGAGGGCCGGAGGAAATCCATCGTGTAGATGCAAGAGGGGCAGGGGCATGTCCAGGTGTAGGAAGGGGAGAGAACGGGTTTGTGGGTGAAGTACTGGCATGTGTATTAGTTACTGCTGAAAGAGTAGGAGGGGGGGGACTTACGGCGGGCAATAGGTTTGCTTGCTCCGGAACAGGGAGTTCCTTTGGAAAGAAAGGCATGATAGATGCAGCTTGGGTATTCCACCGGCCTGCTGTCTTCCGGGGCCGGCGAGGACTAGCCAGCTCAGGGAAAACGGGGCGCATTTCTGTGTCTGAATTTCCGGGAGGGGGGGTGAACAGTCCTCCTAGGTCTGGCCCAGAAGCTTTGGAGCTGTCGTAGGCTTCGTCTAGTTGGTCAACTTCCATCTCGTCGTCTTGTGTAGGTCGGTTGGCAGACTGCGGGGACGGGAGAGATTCAACCTCGTCGTCCGAGTCGGGGAGCGTGAGGTCCAGGTCTACAGTTTCGTTTTGTCGGCGGGGATTCCTGCGCCTCTGGAGAGAACGAGGGGGAACAACACATGTTCTGGTAATGACCTGGTTTGAAGGTTAGTGCTGCTGCATGCAGTGCAAGGAAGGGAGGGACGTACATCTCCGGAGAGGTCGATCTCCTCCACTGTTCTGCGGGATCTTGTCGAGCGGGGCGGCGTAGCGGTCGAAGACTGCCCTGACCTGGGCGGTCTGGCAAAACCAGGCCTCCGTTGCCCATTTTCCACCTTCCGCCTCTTCCCGCTCCCTCCTGGACTCGCCCCTCGCTTTCTCTTCTTCTCCTCCCCGAGTTTCCGCTTGACGCCCCAAGTCCTGCCCTGCCCCTGCGCCCGCGCCCGCGCTTCCTTCCCCGCCCGCCAAAACGTTTCCCAGTCCTCACGCGGTATCTGGACACGTTTCGCGTACTCGGCGTTCCGCCAGCGTTCGTTCGTCCAGTGGTCTTTGAGCCATGAGGAATGGGCGACGAGGGTATGGTAGATGTCCGCAGTGAAGAACGCTTCGTCGGTGTGGGACTTTTTGTATAGTTGCTTATACTACCCCCAATCCTGCGTCAGCATCTGGCAGGACAGGATGTGTGGACGCGTACCTTATCGACAAGAAACCGGATAGTCTGTTCATGGGCCCATTTCGTCCCACACATAACGACGAAGTTTACCAGCAAGCCCCGCTCGAGCGTCACTCTGCTGCGGGCATAACACTCCGCCTCCATAGAGAGGACATGATATCTCTTATGCTCGCGTGTATGCATGACGACTGCGTCTGTCCCTTCCTCTAGACGTAGGTCTCTCGCATAATTGTCTGTCCAATACTGAGTACGCGAGGTTAGGAGCGAGTGGGACGACGCACCATCAAATGTGCTCATCCTCCATTTCCCTTGTACGATGACTCTTACGACCAAACCATGTCTCCACACGGACTTCTTCGCCTCCTGCCCCCCGACTCTATCCAGCGCCTCAGACCTAACCCATCCATATGCCCTAGCATTGAGCTCGACGACGCCACGCCAGAACGGCTGAGAATGCTCGGGAAAGTTGACACCAAACGAGAGCGAGAAGTCGTCCAGTCCTATAGGGGTGTTGGTCGCTGAGCGTAAGGAGAGGTTTTGGAGAGTAAGGAAGGGGGGCCGAGGGGGGTGATTGGATGAGGGCGTGGGGAGGGAGGGGAGGAAGAGGTCGGATTCCCATATGGGCCCAAAGAGAGCCATTAGGTGGGGAAAAGGTTAGGGTCGCGCCGGCGCAAGTGAATGATGGTCAACGTCCACGTTGTTCTGCTTCTCGCTTCCCGTAGCTGGATATCAAAAACACACTCGCTTCCACTGGATACCAGCTTCGCAACGCTTATTGAATCACGACCTAGAAGCCGCGGAAATCGCACGGGGAAACCTACCAATCCACGTCCGTAACACTCGTAACACTGGCGTAGGCGTGGCGCAGAGACGTGTCGTTACTCAGACTGCGCAAAGCTTCGCCTTAACGGTGGGAAGCTGAAGAACGCGTGCCGAACTGCCAACAATAGAGCGTCGCCGCCTTCTCTCGTTGCGCTGAAGCTTGTTCGACGTGAACTGTGAAAGCCTCTTTCGGGTGAACGGCCCTCCTCAGAAGAAAAAGGAATGACAAGGAGCCCAAAAAGGATACGGTCCGTACAAGATTCCTTGTAACGCACGCTGACGAGATTGATGGCCGTACTGTTGGGATACGCGGAGTCTGAACGCAAAATTTTGTATCGTAATCTGGACCTCGATCGGGGAATGGCGTCGACCGGCGGTGGTGAGGCTGGCTCCACCGTCACGCAACGCTGAGAAAGAAGTGGAAGCGGCACTAGCGTCGAAAAGATGTGATGGAACGATTGCCGGTCGTGTGAAGATCGGCGAGTGATGAGCGATGACTCGTCGCGCTGTGGACGGTGAAGAAAAAAAAAGCGACCTGCGTACGCCCTTCGCTCGAGCAATAAGTACCTGCGCTCCATGGCCTCAGCTCCAGCCTAAGACCACTCCAACGCAAAGCAAGCAGCTGAGGCCTTGGTGTTTTTGCAAGGTGAGAGCCTGTGCGTCTTACACTGGGCCTGAACGTTCCTACAGTGGTCCTAACCACCTCGTTACCAGTAACCCTTGGCCCACCTGTTCAGGAGCTAGTAAGCAGAACACATCAGAATACCTGTCAAAAACATATGTAAACTATTCAACTCAAGAACTGCATTATTTTAAACTTCAGTTTGTATTGTTCTGTATGTACGTTACTTACCCCGGCTTCTCCGGATGCAAGAAGCAGTCAGGTCCGGATGATCCGGCCGACTGCTCAGGGTCAGCTTCTGTTCTCATCAAGGAATTGAATGTGAAATAAATAGAGTTTCCTAGGCCGGACTTTGAAAGGGTTTTTTATTCTTATTTATTCATTCAATTTGATTCTCTTGGTAAGGTGAGATGCAGGCCAAAGCGCTAATGTCTCCTGCAACAAAGGGCCTCACACCTTTCCAGCAGTACACTGGCCATGTCACATGCAAGAACAGAACAATTCCAGCGCACCGGAGCGGGCCGCTCCAGGAAGTGAGGAAGCTCCAAATGAGTTACGTACTGCACAGCCGCCCATTTTTTTTTTTTTTCACCACCATCACAATGCAACATGAGGATGGACATAACAAATATAGGGTTGCTTCTCGAGGCTACGGCAGGGGCGAAATGTATTCTAGCACCTGACGATCGGGATATCGGAGAAAGGGGGGTTCGTGTGACCTTGATAGTTCGGAAGTAGGAGGGTGGGAAGACGGGGTGTGTCAACATGCAACGGGGTGTGTCAATATGCGCCGGGGTGCGTCAATCCGCCTGGGAGACTCCAGGAGACCGTAAGACTTTGCCCCGGTCCTTCTGCCTAGAAGAGGTAGAAGACTGCCAGAGTGTCCGAATATCCGCGCATCTGTACACCATAGAGTAATTTCTTGTCCCACTCCCCGAAAGATGGCCCCTCTCCCCGAAAGATGGCCCCTCTCCCCGAAAGATGCCCAGCCGTCAGGTAATTAGTGTCTCCCTTTGCAGTTTTTTTTTTCTCGACCAGCCAGCGGGAGTCAGCCTCAATCCTCAATTCCAAGAGGTACAAATACCCCCCATTTCGCACTGCACAACACCATTCCATCCCCTCCAACTTTTCCCATTCCAAGCACGCTTTCCCCCGGTGGAGGTGTGCGCCTTACTTGTGCCCACGCGCAGGTACGCGTGGGTACTTGGGCTATATTCCAATTGCTCCCCAGCCGCTGGATTCCCTGCCCCTGACCCGATCTGATATCTGGATATCACATCAAGTCAATTATCATTTTTTCTCATCCTTTATCCTTCACCTTTTGTCGTTCATTGTCTATATTCCATTCCACTCCCTTCATCCATTTTTGTCGTGGATCGGTTATCGGGCATTGTAGCTGGCGGTCCCTATCGGTCATATCATCCTCCTGCAGGCTGTTATTCTCCCTTGATCTCTGCACTGCCCATCTGATTTCAAGACGAGTAAGTGATTTATTTTGATCGTATTAGATGGTATATCGATGTGTTATCTCCAATATCACCGCAGTCGTCACTTTCATTCGGTGGACAAATCGTCAAGTTGTTTCGCTCTCAAACGGTGTGCGGTGTATGGCCATCCTCTCCGCCTTTGACGCTCCCTCAACGTCTGCCTCGACGACAACGACAGCGAAGCGAAGCCCTGAACGACCTGCTGCAGCGCCTCCAGCACTGCCAGTCGACTTCCGCCCGCAGCTCATCTTCCTCACAGGCCAGCAAGATCGCACAACGGCGTCCGTCGGTGCCGGCATCGCGCACCAACGAGCGCGGCTCGCCCACTCGATCAACGGTGTCTACTCGCCAACCTATACACTACCTGACGAGATCATCGCTACAATCTTCGAGCTGTCCTGTGCGGACTACATTGGCGAACCGCCAAACCCGTTTGCGATTGCGTTGTCCCATGTGTCGGCGAGGTTCAGGCATGTGGTGTGCACGACCCCTCTCCTGTGGCACAAGCTCGTCATACACCTGCCTATGACACGGCCTGAACAATGGCTGCAAGGAGGGAAATGGAGGACGATTGCTGATCGCACTGGGTCGTGCTTGCTCGACATCTCTGTCAGGATACACGACACGATGGCTCAAGCGCAGGACAAAGGGTTGCACATCCCTCCCCCCGAGGCGTACACATTCGTCGCAGCGCTATTTGTCCGCTGCAGGAAATGTACAGTCATGGGACATCATGCTGGCACTTCTCTCCTACCTGCACGAACGAGCGAGTTCAAGTTCCCGGACACGAAGACGCTGACGGAGCTCAGGATGTTCGACACTGTCACGAAGGTGTCGAGCATGCTTGCCTTGCTGTCCAGTTGCAAGGCGCTGGAGTACGTCCAACTGTGCGACCTGCGTGTACAGTCCGAGCCCGAGCCTCCTCAACCATCGCCAGGCGACCCCTCTCCCCCGGTATCCTCGTCAACGCCCATCTCCCCTTCTACCTCTACACCCGCCCCACCACCACCAGACAACCTCCCACCATCACTCACCCTTCCTTGCCTCACGACCCTGCACATCTCAGTCCAGGATACATCAGGCTTCCACGCCCACGGACTATTCACGCACCTCCTCCTTCCCGCCCTCACGAACCTGCATCTCCGTTCTGGGCAGAACTCGTTCCTGATCGCTACGCACCCGTCATCTCCTCAGTCCTTCGCCCGCGTGCGGACGCTCTCCCTCTCCGCCGCTCGCGCAACCCTCGCCTCCATACTCCGGTTTACGTGCTGTATGCCACAGCTCGTACACCTCTCTCTGAGCAGTATGGTACTCCATGCCTCGACCCCCGCCTCCCTTGATCACGAGCTGATGACATCGCTCCTTCCGTCCGTCCCTCCCCTGCGCAAACTGTCTCTGCACCTCGTCCTCCCCTGCGAGCCTCTCCTTCATTTCTTAGTGGGAGCATGTGCACCTCCAGCAGCCGCAGCGCCGGTGAGCTATAACGCCGCCCGCCGGCGGCGCGCGCGGACGCTGGAAAAGCTCGAGTTGGAGGAATGCTGGCTTGCGAGTGGGGTGCGCACTTGGGTGAAGGAGAGGCTGGGGGAAGAGGCCGTGTATGTGAGGAAGAGGAAGGTGCAGGAGTGGGTGCCCGGTGCGGGGTCGTAGCACGCGGTGGGGCATCTGGAGCTGATGCGGTGCCGGGGCTGGTGGCTGATGTACAGGAGGGTGCGTCCTGGCAAGGACGGGCATTGAGCCGCTGTCCGTGAGGGATATGCCGCAGGCATCAAGGCAGTCACCACCTTGAATTGCCGATTATCCCGCGCAGGACAGTCGGTGCCAGGAGCCTAGAGCTTTGTCCAAGTTCCAAAAAAATCTCCCCCCAGCTCATGCCCGAGGAAGTCGAACACCCAGCAGCACATCCTGTGCCTGTCGTCTTCCCGCTCAACCTAACCGAACCCGACACATCACCATTTCCCATCAACCTATCCGGAACCCACATCAAACAAAAACAAAAACAAACAATACTGCGCCCGGCCGGGCTAGCGCAGGTGATACCCTGGCCCCTTGGCGGAGTGCCAGGGGCGGAGGAGTTATTTATTATTTGTTCATAGCCCACCCATGAGCGGGTTCGGCGAGGGCGTGCAGGTGCCCATCCCTATTCTACATGTTCAAGTCCTTTACTCTCCGGCTCATGAGGCAACCAAGGAAGACACGCAAGAAGGCATTCTGGAAGGAGCACGAACCCACCCAACGACCCCCTCTCCGCCGTGCGATCCACAAAATCAATTACCAATAACTCCCTCTCTCTGTACCCGACCGGGTGCAGACATCTGTGCCCCTCCTAGCGCGTGGATTTCCTGTTCTTCATGTGTGTCGCTTGTAGTCTTTTATCGCTCTGGAGTTCACCCGTTTTGTGCATATTCACTGGATTCCTTTTCTTGTTGATATTTCTGACGAGTCGATTGTAAATTTTTGTTTGTTTTATTTTATTTTTTTGGTTTCCCCTACCCTGCTCTCGGCGACATCCTCAATCATGTACGCATACAATCATGTCCGAACGCTCTGGGACAGGAGCGGGGCAAGGAGGGAGGTGGGAGGTGGGGAACGAAGTATATAGTTTTACTAAAACCCAAAAAAATGAATTCGTTGTAGATAAAATGCTGCCCCTGATGACTGTGTACAAGCCGTAAGAACAGAGATGGTCTCTTGCACGCAGCGGGCGTGTTCGGTATTAGTATTGTGCTGCACATTCTAATTTCGAAGCCAGATTCGACGTTTGAACGGCACACCGAACGATACTCCGAACGAGGTTCGAAAGTACAGTAGTCATAAATTAGGAATGGAGTTAGGATAGTTAGTCCGAAGTCCGAATCGCCTCTGAACATATATATAGGGAGGATTCGAGTATTTCGGAACAGGAACTCACTCTCTTTTCTTGACTATTATCTCTTACCTTAACCCTTACACTACACCTTTAACGTACAGTCAGTCCTTACTCTCCCTCTCTCTTACATCGAGCAATCCAAACACTCTTTCCGACCTTCTGTGCTGCACATACATACAAATTTCAAGTTCGGATCCGACCTTCGAACTCTTCGAACGACATGCCGAACTCAGCCAGAACGGACTATTGGAAGGAAGAGTGGACCCTAGACATAGCCTTAGGTAATATAGATTAGGAATAGATTAGGTAGCTAGTCCGAAAGTCCGAACTGCTCCGAACGTATATAGGAGGATTCGAGTACTTCAGATAGGGACGCTCTCTATCTCTCTCTCGTTCGGCTCTCTGGCCATCATTTACCTCACTCTAATACTACACCTCTACTCTACAGTCAATCTTTACTTTACCCTCTGCTCTTCTTATTCCAACTGTTGATTCGAATCTTCGAACCGACCCGGCAACACTCGTTATTGCTTTCGAGTCCTCTCGGCAACGCAGCCATTTCGGACTCTCGTCTTCGAACTGCTTGCGCTTAGGCTGGCATTGGCCACGCTCCGGCCTGGGGTTTAGGAACGCCTATCGAACCCTCGAATCGACCTTCGGACTTCCCTCCCTTTAGAGTCTAATATCGATTAGGCCACTACGAGACGACCAAACTACCACTACCTAGACTCGAGCTACCACTGTCAACTCCCCCTCCAGCGCACCTACTCCCGACGCCTCATTGGGAGGTGTAGAGTACACTTCGAACTGTCTCTCCCCCTCGTAGCCCTATCGGTTCAAGCTGGCCCTTCTGACTCAAACGGCCTCTCCGAATGCTTCCATCCTAGTTGGTCTTGTGTTCTCACGTCTAGTGGTTTCAGAACTAGGGTCGGATTTCGAAGTCATTCTCAGACTAGCTATCTCTTGTGCCGCACATTCGAATTTCGAGTTCGGATTCCACATTCGAACAGCACTCCGAACGACATTCCGAGCGGGGTCGGAACGGACTATGAGAAGACATTGGAAGGAAGATACACAGCTTTAGGTAATATAGATTAGGAATAGAGTAGGATAGTTAGTCCGAAAGTCTGAACCGCTCCGAACGTATATAGGAGGATTCGAGTACTTCGGATAGAGACGTTTCTTCGACTTGGGTACCCTCTTCACACCTTATACTTGATAGTATGCCTATATCCTACAGTCAATCATTACTTTTACCCTCTGATTCTCTTATTCCGACTACCTGTTCGGACCCTCGAACGACGCTCCGAATCACTCTTTATCCAGCCCTTCGAGTCTTCTAGACAACTCCTTCGCTTCGGACGGTCGTTCGGTTGCTTGTGCCTTCCGCAGGCATTGGCCACGCTCCTGCCTGGAGCTTGGAAACGCACATCGAAAGTCAAACCAGCCTTCGGATCAGTCGTTCCTCGCTACTATCTTCGATTTGGCTGGCATTATGCCTACGGACTACTATCCTAGAGATACCGGCTACTACTGTCAACTCCCCCTCCAGCAGACTTACTCCTGACGCCTCATTAGGAGGTAGAGAGTACACTCTTCAGAATAGGCTTCGATTACTACTGGAACTTCACCTACGGACTATCATCTGCTTGACTCGAGCCGTTACGGACTACTCCCCCTCCAGCGGACTTACTCCTGACGCCTCATTGGGAGGTGTAGAGTACAGTATATGCGATAATTAGTATCGATACAGGATCTAACGTATACACCACAAGTCTTATGACCTCTGCCATATCCTCCAATTGCCCTGTACATATCTCTTCGTCCCCAAGAGCGTCATCGAGCCGACAACAAAGCATGCCCCCGTGAACCCGATTCCTATCCTATACGCGTCCGTGCCCTGCATGCCCAGCTGCTGGGAATAGTTCACCAGCGCGATCCCGATAGGCTCGGACACCAGGTTGGGGACAACGCTCACAAGCCAGAGCATGGCCATTGCGCTCCCCATATCCTTGACTCCCACTATTTCGGCAGTGACGGGTGCACAAGCGCCCCAGAAGGTGCCCCCCGTTAGGCCTTGCAGGATCGAGAAGAGGATGAGCACGCTGTACGAGTGTGCGAGCATCCATATGACCAAGCAGGAGAATCCGGCCACAAACGTAAATGTCATCGCGGCGTTTATACGGCCTATCCGATCCGCTACTAGCCCTATAGCCGGGCGTCCGACCATCTGCCCTGCAGCTAGAATAGCTTGCAGGTTCGCTCCTTGTGTTTGGGTTAATCCGAGCCCGGAAACAGCGTATGTCGGTACAGATAGGACGCCGAATACGTAGCCCATAAGCGCGAAGAGGGCCCACAGCCAGACCCAGACAAAGCCCGGGTGGGCAAGCCATTTCAGCTCCAAAGGCTCCGTATTGTGCTTCGACCCGAGGTGGGAACGGTCCCGGATGAGGAGGACGGCAGGGACGAGAACAACGAAGCAGACCAGGGCGTTGACGATGAATGCCCAGCGTAGGCCGAGGGACTCGATCGATGCTCGGGTGACTATGCTGAATACTAGAGAACCACCGCCTGAGCCACCGGCGGCGATGCCTAGTGCGAGGGCGCGGCATTTTGTGAACCATTGGGCGAGGATAGGGAGGAGCGGGATGAATATCTACTAAAGGGGTTAGCGGGGGTCTTGGGGTCAGCAAGGGGATGTACTAATCCGATACCGAGGCCCGTGGCGATCCCCTGACTTAGGAGCAACTCCCAGAACGTCCTTGAGAATGCAGCTGCAAACTGGCTCGCTGTGTACAGGAGCACACCGCCTATCATAGGCGCTCTGAAGCCGAACCTGTTCCCGAGGTAGTTGGAGAGCGGGGAGATGACGAGTGCGACGGCCACGATTACCCCGCCTACGAAGGCGTACTGTATGTCTGTCGTGCCTGGGAAATCTGGGGAGTGTCAGCTTGAGCAAAAGGAAACGCAGGAATACTGACAGTTGTTTTCACGGTAGAAACTGAGGAATACGCCAAAGCTGGTGACGTTCCCGAATGTTGCGGCTGCCATCTACTTGTTAGTTTCATCCCATCAACCTCAGCATGAACACACACACCGTTACACAAAAACTGACAAATAGCGACGATCCATCCGTATCCTCCATCCGGAGCTGTTAGAGGTGGTTCTTTCTCTTCCTCCTCTTCCTTCCCCACTGCTACTGGTACCACCTCGTCCGGACCTCGTCCCTCTTCCGGCTTAACAACAGCAACAACAGTCTTGTCGTCTTCCCAGGAAATGATGGGGGTCACCATTCTCCTTCTACAGAACAGTTAGTTGGACATGACAGCTTTTAACCGTTGTTACTGTGGAGAGGGAACCAAGAGCCTTGGAGTTACGGCTGAGTCAGCTCTGCCGGTGTAGAAACGCGGGGAAGGAGGGCAAGGGTCAAGTGATCGGCTATCGGGTATCGCGATCGGGAAATTAATAACCAGAGGATTCGGATTTGGGTCGGGCCGAAAGCCGAAATGTTCTCTCATGTTTCATGCTCTCAGTTTTGCATACTAACAACCTTTCCTATTCAAGGAATATACTTGTTCTTCCTAAATAAGAAATGAGAGTAGAACTGCGAATTTCACATTTCAAAGACCCACGCAGATAGCCTAAATAAAGGTTGTAACAAGCGCGCCCTGGTGCCTTGACGGCCGGTAACGCCGAACCATTTTCCCCGCCTCCGATATCCGCGGATGGGTCATGTACGCGCACGTGCGCGGTGTGTGGTACGGACAGGACAGGATGCTGTAGCGGTGCGTGGATATCGGATTGTGGGTTAGACGACCACCACCACCACAACCACCACCACAACCACGACGTGCAAGGACTACAGTGAGAACGACGACGACCTGACCGAAGGGACGCTAAACCTGAGCGCAAGTCACTGAACCAACGACCGATTCGAGCGCATACATCTACTTCAGCTCTGAGCGCATACATGTACCTCGACTCTCACCACATCCGACGACCGATGACAACCTCCCCACCCGCATACACCTCCTCCTCCCCCTCTATCTCCGCTTCCCACCGCCCGTCCCTCTCCCTACATGACATCCCCTCCGACACCGACCTTCCCATCATTGACGGGTATACCCCCGCACCCTCCGAGCCTCTGCCCCGCTACCCCCGAGCAGCACAATACGTTTTCCTCTCCCTCGATGTAGGGAACAGCGTCGTAGTAGACGCGCATACCGGCCAGCCGGTGATGGAAAGCCTCACCACCTCAGAAGATGGGGAAAGCAGCGAAACCCAGCTCAGAGCTCTCACCTCCAATGGTGACCTGATCTGTCGGGTCTCATGGCCCTCTGGTAGGAAGGCTAAAGCTGGTCCCACGCTCGACTGGGGATCGGGACAGGGAGCGGTCGGCTTGAGGAAATGGATGGCTCGGAAGGGTGATCCTGGAGCGCTGTTGAGGGTCAAACATCGGGGGAAGAAATACGACGTGTTCCAGGCTGGGCAGGCGTTGGGTGTGCGCTACGCCCAAAAACGGGGGAGGGAGCCTATGTTGCTAGGCATAAGGGACCCGATGAAGTATACCGAGCTGGTGCTGAGCCCCCTGGTGGGGGAGGAGAGGGGGGAGTTGCTGGAGCTGGGATGCGTGATCGTCTTGCTGCTCAAGAGCAAGAAGAAGCTGGGCCCTGACTTTGAGGGACGACAGTTGAGGGATACGATTTGGAGCGGGGTGGAGAAGTGTTTTACTAGCACTGGGAACGCCCAGCCGGGGAGGGTGTTGACTTGAGAAATGGTGGGTGTGATGTACTTGGGCCGATTTGGATGATAACTGGGTACTTTGGTTTTTTTTAATTTCGTTTTTTGGGTTGTTGATAGTCATTGGGCTAGATCAAAATGGTATAGTATGGTATGGTGCATACGCCAAGATGCTTGGGCGTCTCGAGCCAAGTCCTAATGGGGATTTCCGAAGCCATTGTCACGCGGTGTATCACTACGCTCATCCCTTCCTCTTTGGTCTCCGTCTCCCAAGAAGTCTATCTTCTGATGTGAGCCTGTGAGGGTGATGCGAATCAGCAGGAGGATGGTTATCTACCCGCATCCCCTTGTGTCTCGAGATGGACGGGGTGCATAGGATGGTTAGGGAGGTGTTGTTTGGCAAGACACCCGCGGTGTATACTGGACTTATTGGGGTGCGTACTGCTGTACAGCCGTGGATACAGGACGAAGTAGATCGCCGGGTATACACCGTATACTGCCACGCTACGCCCTGCAGAAGGACCGACGACGGCCGAACAGGTCTGGGGGGACGGTTGTCACTTTGTTTCTCTTCCTATGCTTGAGCACTGGATGGGGGCAGTGAACATGGCGTACTCTCAAGCCGGCGGAGCAGGGAATGAAGGAGATGCTCCATGAATTACCGTGTTACAACTGGAGTGGAGGGCCGGGGGAGGTGATAAAAGGCACTGCAGAGCTGGTCAAGGCCTGTGTTTTCGAATTAGATCTGGATGAGGCTGACAGGACGCAGTTTGGATTGTATTTGAGGAGCGCTGCTCCGGTTTGGCATGAGGGACGGGCGGGGGCGGTCCTGCTTACACACGCTGCAGATCCGATTACACCTTTCCTCGGTTGACCACCATCGCATTAATATTTATACTCTGGTCCTCTCCAACAGTATGTATTCAACCCTTAACTCCTGACTACACCATTCATTCGGCATTCGTTGCATGCTACGTTCTCTTATAGAAGCCATGGTTACCCCGATCAACACACCACACATGCATCCCCTGCACTCGGAGCTGTGTCTGAGCACTGCTTGGCAAGAGTATTTAGCGGACACTAGGCACCAAGTCGTACTCTAGAGCTGGTCTCGAAACCCCTTTCTCCTCTGCTTATCACGAACTAACCCTTCCTACTAACATCTCATTACCAGTGCGGTCACGACTTATGCGGGTCGACAATGGCGGCGTCGCAGGCAGCTATAATCAATTACCAGCACATTCAGAGGCAATACGAAGCCGGGAAGGCAACCGCTACTGATCTGAAGAAAGCAGGAAAGCAATTGGGCAAGGTACATCGCTTGATGCCGAAAGTTGCCGCCGACGCCTCGGCAAAGCAAAAAGACTATTCAACGCATCCGGATCGGCCGTTTCCTTCAGCAGAACACCTCAATGCGGCAATAGCGGGTACAGCCAATGCCCACAAAAATGCTGCAGACAACAGGGACGTAGCGAGGAAGATTCACGATATAAACGTGCACCACTACAACAGAATCAAAACAGCCATTGCCGCGCGAAAGAAAGAAGGTCACGATACCACGGACCTACAGGACGCACTAGAAAAGGCCAAGAAAAGGAAGGCTAAATGGACCCAAGTATATGCCCAAAGAACAATGGAAGAGAATATGCATTATCATTCTCTGCAGACTCTCCTTGGCATGAATCCTCAGCCAGGTGCGAATCATTAGAACCGCCCGACCTGTTCATTCTTGGAGGGCGTTGCATTCTTCTAGGCGTGCGGGTTTTATTTATGCCATTTGTATAGATCTAGACTTGTAGCTGTGAAATGCTGTTTGGATGTGTATCATCTCGTCCGTCTCTTGCCGAGGCACGCCCTGTTCACTGCAAAGAACGTGGATAAAGCGTTCACAGAGTATGCGAGTGTAAGGATGGACCACGTGCGGCGGACGTTTAAGCAGACTGAGAAAGAAGGAGGGAGAGCTGAGGATGGTCAAAGGAAAGGAGGTGTGTCTTGTGAAAGAGGAAATGTTGGTGAGTGGAAGATCATATTTGACATCGCTAATCCCTTCCTCTTTGGCCTCTGTCTCCCAATAAGTCTATCTTCTGATTTGACCCTGTGCGGGGTTATGCTAATCAGCAGGAGGATGGTTATCTACGCAGCTCGACTTGTGTTTGCTCTCACTTTACTAGAAGATGGAAGATAAGAAGACCAAAGTGCTTGTCATCGGTGCAGGTGCAGCGGGTACGTGCCTATCACATCTCATCGACTCATACAAACCCATGATACAGGCCCTATCCTAGCCCTCGTCCTGGAACACAAAGGTTTCCTGGTGGAGATGTACGAGCGTCACCCGCAGATCCCCCAGGGAGGGCTAGCGATGCAGCTCTCTGGCCAATCGTGCGCCTTTCCCCGTTCCGCACTGCGTCTCTCACCTGTTAGCAGGTTTAAGGTTCTCAACTTGCTCGGTTTAGCAGAGGGCGCGTTGGCGCTCGCATTGCCTGTGGAACACGCGAAGCATCGATCTGAGCTATCAGGAAGGGTGTTCTTGGATGCACCTGCTGGAGCTGGGATTCGCGCAGCAACAGGCTGGCCAATATGTACCGTCAACCGGTCCACGTACACCGCGTACTTGCTCTCGGAGTGCGCGAAGCGCGGCATAAAAGTGTTCCGGGGAAAGAGGTTTCTAGACCTGGAGCAGGACGCGGTGGGCGTGAAAGCGCGGTTTGCGGATGGAACCGAGGCGCGGGGAGAGATGCTCGTTGGTTGCGACGGGGTGCATAGTACCGTTAGGGATGTGTTGTTTGGCAAGACACCTGCGGAGTATACGGGCCTCATTGGGGTACGTGCTACCCAAATGGGATACTGGACGAACGCTGAGTGGAGTAGATCGCTGGCTATACACCGTATACTGCTACGCTACGCCCTGCAGAAGGACCGACGATGGTCGAACAGGTCTGGGGGGACGGGTGTCACTTTGTCTCCCTTCCCATGCTTGAGGATCGCTGGATGTGGGCAGTGAACATGCCCGAAGAAGCGGATTTGATTGAGGATTGGCGTACTCTCAAGCCGGCGGATCAGGGGGTGAAAGAGATGCTCCGGGAACTGCCGTGTTACAACTGGAGTGGAGGGGTGGGGGAGGTGATAAAAGGCACTACAGAGCTGGTCAAGGTCTGTGCTTCGGAATTACGTGGGTCTGAGGCTGACAGGAGGCAGTTCGGGTTGTATTTGAGGAGCGTTGCTCCGGTTTGGCATAAGGGACGGGCGGTATTGCTTGGAGATGCTGCACATCCGACGACGCCTTTCCTCGGTCAAGGAGCGAACCAAGCGACAGAAGACGTATACCATCTGGTCCGTCTCTTGCTGAAGCACGCCCCGTTTACGGAAGAGAACCTGGACAAAGCGTTCACGGAGTATGCGAATGTGAGGATGGACCGTGTGCGGCGGACGATTGAGCAGACCAAGAAGGAGGGAGACTTGAGGATGATCAAAGGAAGAGAGGCGTGTCTTGCGAGAGAGGAAGGGTTGACAAGGGGTATGGGGACAGAGACGTGGAAGATCATATTGGAGATGATTAGTGGTCCATTTACTGGAGAGAGAGAAATTTAGAAATGATTTCTTATTGGAAGAAGCCAAGTCAATAAATTGTTGAGAATAAAGACATTTCAATGCAGCATATACTTGCTGGTGCGGTATTTCCAAATCAGGTAATTTCCTCGTCTGTCTCCGCGTTAGAGCTGAATTATTGGATCGTCCGTAACCTTGACTGGTCGGTGCACAAGTACCTGTCCGACACATCTCTTTCTCCAACCACCACTCACACTGTCGTTCTCCGCCTTATCTTCGCGCACTCCTGCGCGTCTGGCGCCAAAGTGCCACCACTGGACCTTGCTCTCTGCCTCGAGTGTTCCTATCCAGTGCTTGATGAAGCGGTCTTTGGCCGACTTTGCCGGGTCTGAGAGAAGTAACGTCCATCCTGAACCTACGACTTCTATCGCGAGCGAATCACACCCACTCCCCGGTCATCCCAGTCTACCTAGAAGACCTATCACACCCTCTCGTTCCCTCCTAGACCGAATTTCCCAGCCTCCAGCGTCAAAAGTGCAGAAACGATTCGCATCTTCCTCGGCTGCGCTCTCCCGTAGACCTGTTCAAGACGATCGTGCGAGCGCAGAAGGAGAGAGACTCATTCACGACTCGGTTGACGATTCACGCCCTACCACGAGCGCGATGCCTCCACGTGGTCCGAGACCTGGTCCGGCAAGCAAGGCTCCCATTCCGTCCGGAGCTACCAGCACGCAAGAAGAAAAGTTCACCGAAGAATACATCCTCTCCCTGTTTCCTTACCGACCTACCAACACGTTTGAGCGGTCCTGCTGGAGCGAATGGATGGTCAACCCCAAGAACCCGATTATCCTTTATCTCCAGCGAATAAAGTGCGAGTATGATGCTTGCTTTTCCGAGCGTAAATGGGTGGACGAGAAGGGTCAGAAGATGCTTAGGGCAACGTTGACGGTTCCTGTCCCGGGAGGAGTGTTGATTAATGGAGAGAGGGTGGAGACGTTGAAAGGGATCGGGGATGGGACTACGAGGAAGCAGGCGGATAGGAATGCGAATATGCACCTGTGGCTGCAGATCCTAACTTACCAATTGGTGCGCGCATGATTCTCCCTATGTGTGAACGAGTCTAATATTGCACTCAGGTGGACGACAAGGGCAAACCTGTAGGACAGCCGGTGATGCCTCCACCCCGTGCTCCTGCCTCTGAAGCTGTGAAAGTAGTATCGAAGGCTTCAGAACGAGCCAACGATTCTTTCTGGACTTATGATAGGATCACAACTTCCTTCCCCTTCCAGCCCGTCGAGCCGCGGATGATCAAGACATGGTCTAATATCCTCAGTGAGCCCAAAGGGCCACTCTCGAACTTTGTCCGACCGCGCAAGATCAAGGTTGAAGATTCGCATACCTCGTATGGAAAAGCCTGGCGAGCGTTGTGTAAAGTTCACATGGGGGATGAACAAGATAAGGAGGGAAAGCCCATTGGAACTATAGAAGGAGTTGGGGATAACATGAATAAGAAGGAGGCGTTGAGGCTTGCGTACTTGAGCGCATGGCTGCAAGTATTGCGAACTGGTGTGGTAAGCCCTTTATCTAAGTGTACCAGTGTTCATCATTGACCGATCGGAACATATGCAGGTCGATCGAGGTGTCCCAGCCCAGGTACAAGACAACATGCCTAAGATGGCGCCTGAGGTCGACAACGGCTGTGTAACCATGGATGACGGGACCGTCGTAGAGTCTCCCCGTGCGCGACAGTTCATCGAGTATTACTGCACCATGTTCCGCTTTGCGCGTCCGGAGTTACAGTACACACAAAAGGGTAACGGTCCATGGTACGCTACCCTGGTCATCGATGGCCGGAGGCTTGGTGTTGGTATCGGACCGAGCAAGAAGAATGCGGAAGAGAACGCGTACCTTGACATCACGAAATACCTGGCAGAGTGCGACCCTGACCTGTGGAACAAATTCTACACGCAGTACAAGCACGTGCCCAGTGACAGGCCTGTGAACCTCGCCCCGGAGATCACAGTTGGCAACATCAGTTTTCAGATGCAGGCTATGTTGGACAACCTATGGCACAGAATCACGAACATGGATCTGTGGCGACATCGGCCAGACTCTGCAAGGCGAGATGGATCCCCAATTCCTATGGAGTCGGCACCGCAGGGCGATGCGAACGATTGGATGATGGAGGATGCGTCTCAGCCATCAAAGGAACCGTCACAAGCCAATACTCCTCTAGACCCGGAGACTGCGCTGAAACAGCAACTAGCGCTATTCCCGAGTGATCAATATCATCACTCAAAGTCAGCCCGTATGAAAGCCCAGTTGCGCGCTTACCGGAATTCGACAGAGACGGGGGTCGTCAAGATGCGCGAAGTTCGCGCGTCGTTACCTGTTTTCAGGCAGTCTGGGCAGCTCCTAGAGATCCTGCATAAGAATGGGGTCGTTATATGCATGGCTGCGACCGGTTCTGGCAAAACGACGCAAATCCCCCAGCTGATCCTTGACGAATGGATCGACCGCGGCGAAGGGTCGAGATGCAACATCATCTGCACGCAACCACGACGACTAGCGGCCGTCTCGGTCGCTCAGCGCATTGCTCGCGAGCGGAATGAAATTGTGGGACAAAATATCGGCTACGCGGTTCGATTCGAGGCGAAGAGACCCGAGCTTTGGGGCAGTGTCACCTTCGTGACCACCGGAGTGTTCCTCAAGATGATGCAGTCTGCTCTGCAGGCTAATGGCACCCGATTGGCAGAATATACCCATGTCATCGTAGACGAGGTTCACGACCGGGATGTCGACACCGATCTGACTCTGGCAGTAATCAAGCGGCTGATGCACGAGCGGCGCAAGATGGGCGAAGAGCTCAAGGTCATTCTCATGAGCGCAACTATCGACCCTAGTCTTTTCACTCAGTACTTCGCGGACGAAAACACTGGAGCCCTTGCCCCTGTGGTTGAGATCCCTGGTCGAAGCTTCGCGGTCGAAAAGCATTTCTTGGATGACGTCTTGAAGGAGATCGGGCGAGCAGGTGCTGCTCAAGGTCATCAGGACGGCGGCTGGGTCTGGAACGAGAAGATTGTGGGGGATTACATTGGCAAGGAAATTGGATCCCCTCTAAGTGCTGTGATGAGTGATCGAGTTCCTCTTTCTCCGTCAAATCCGAATCCAAACGACTTGCCCGACATCCCGTTCCCTCTCGTAGCGCTGATCATTGCTTTTGTCATCCAAAAAAGCGACGACGGACATGTACTTGCCTTCTTACCTGGATGGCCCGAAATCAGCAGAGTTCGCGATATCCTCACCGACCGATTCCGATTCCCGCTGCTCAACATCGACTTCAGCAATGAGAAAAAGTTCGAAATCCATGTCCTGCACTCGAGCGTCCCGATAGCAGAACAGGAAAAGATTTTCGATCCCGCGCCGCCGGGAGTACGTCGCATTATCTTGTCAACCAACATCGCTGAAACTAGTGTGACTATTCCCGATGTGGTCTATGTAGTCGATGCGGGTCGTGTGAAGGAGGATCGTTACGATCCCGATCGCCTGTTGTCGAGTCTTGTCAGTGCTTGGGTGGGTCACAGTAGCTTGAATCAACGAGCTGGCCGAGCTGGTCGTCATCGACCAGGAGAGTACTATGGTGTCATGTCGAAGGCACGGGTGGCGAAGCTGCACAAGTACAATGTCGTGGAAATGCTGCGTACCGATCTGAGTGGCGTCGTCATGCGTGTCAAAGCGCTGAATTTCCCTGGGATCACCACAGAACAAATTTTAGAAGAGACAATCGAACCTCCTCCTGAACATCGGGTGTCCGCTGCCATGAATAGTTTGCAACTGCTTGGAGCCCTTGATGATGAGCGAGAGCTGACTGCTCTAGGCAGAGTTCTTCTCCATATACCTGTGGATACGAAACTCGGCAAGCTTTGCATGTTCGGCAGCTTCTTCCGATGCCTGGAACCCGCCCTAACGCTCGCAGCACTGTTGTCGAGCAGGGAAGTTTTCGTTGCCCCTTTGATGAAAAAGAACGAATCTCTCGCTGTCAAGAATTCTTGGAGCCCCAGTAACTTCAAATCAGATGTGCTGGCGGCATTGTTTGCATATCAGGAATGGCACAAGCTGCAATCAAGTCGTCAGTATGCTCAAGCCAATCAATTTGTGAACGAGAACTTCCTGCACAAGGCAACGCTCCTCGACATTACGAGACTTCGAGACCATCTACGTATGCACCTCGAGCGAGCTGGTATTTTGGCTGTCTCAGGTGCCCCCTCTAGCTCAGACAGGATGCGGGCTGCTTGGATGGAAGATCCATCGACGTCAAAGCTGAATGAGAACGCGAATGACATCGCATTATTGTCCGCACTCGTTGCAGTGGCCTCGCAACCCAACTTTGCTGTCCGCCGGCCGGGGAAGGAAGTGTTCCGTACGGTACATGATCTGGTGAGATTTTTCGTGCCGTAGTATATGCATGACTGATGTTTCATTCAGACCACTATGATCCATCCGCAGAGTGTCAATGGACCCAAGGTTTCGAAAGCCATCCTCCAAACAATGGAAGACCACCAGTGGTCAATTGATGATATTGACAACCGAGCTGATGTTCATGGGCTGTATGCCTTTGCGGAGAAGAGCCAGAATCTAACACAGGGCGACAAGAATGCGATGACGTACCTGCGACAGACAACGCGGCTGGATCCACTTGCCTACCTCTTGATCGGGGCCCATCGTGTCCGGCCTCTGCCCCATGGCCTTAAGTGTGATGACTTCCTACCTATAGTTGGCGATCTCGAAACCCTGGACACTATCCATCGATTGAAGTCATCTCTCGATTCCTCCTTACTCCGCGTCTACGAGGGTATCCACGTTGGTTTGCGTAAAATGCGACACGACGGACACGATTCATTTGCTTCGCGACGTCCACCACGCCGAGCACCTGCGAGAAACGCCAGCTACGATGATGACGATCTAGAAATGGATCGCGATAGTGATCGCGAATCGGTCTTCGATGATGACGACGCAGCATCGACGCAACGAGAACGCGGTCCTCTAACCTTGCAAGAGATCCGCGATCTAGAAACAATCACTGCGTCCGTGGTTGAAACTCTGGACCGGTACAGCGAGGAGAATCCCGTTCGAGAAAGTGGTGGTGACAGCCTGCCACACAGCCGAGCAGTGAGCCCGGCACCGGGCTGGGGTGGTAGTGGACGAAATCACAGTAGAGATGGTCTGTCGGTGCCTGACTGGAGGTCACGGCCCACCACGCCATTCAATGACTGGGCCGCTCCTTCCCGGCCAAGATTCTTTGGTACCTCGTCGAGACATGGGTCTGGTACCAACACTCCTTTCCGCAACTCGAGGCCAGCGACTCCCAACAGATGGGAAGATTAATGTTATACTTGCACCACATCTCCACACGCTGTATTTCTAGTGCATTAGTCTGTGATGAACGTTCCATACGAAAGTAGTAATGTATGTGTGGGAAGATATCGCACGGCTAGGGTCTTTCTTGCTTATGTGAACATTCAGAGACGAGCTTCGCGATTGTATCCTCTCGTCTACTGTTGTGAATACCCAAGGTACATACCCGTTGGTCGTTGACGCAGAACATATTGCTGTCACCTACACACCGTTAAGCCCAACAGTAAACATCGCTGCGTTTGTCGGTTCTCGCGCTCGCTGGTCGTCGCCTCACCTTCGTTGTTGGTCGTACATTCATGAGGCAGTGGGAGGATGCCCAGCACCCCTAGCCGGTCGCATGAGAATGATGTGAGTTCGATTTGACATCATGAAGGGGTTACTCTGACGATAGAATGCAGATCATTGGTACGAATCCACGTATGTTCTTCTCAGCGCCGCTTTTGGAAGCGAGACTGATGGCAGAGTAGCAAGGGGTGACCGATTTGATATTGGTACATATGTGAGTCCAACTTCGCTTCTAATCGGAAATGTGCTAACCTAAAGCATAGACAGACTTCATTACCCTATATGCTGAGACGGAGGAGATTTTGCTCTCACCACAAGACTTCCCCACGATCCTCGCCGAGTCGTCGACTGTCAACCTTCCCAATGGCGAATGGCTCAGCTTGACGCTAACAGGCATCTGGGGCACGTGTGGGCATGGACACCAGATTTTCCATGCTGGAACTGCGGTGGAGGGTAGTGTTGAATTGGATATGCAATATGCACACATGGCCAAAGGTCTTGTGGTCGAGGTGTGCCTAACTGTTTGCCGCACATGAACCCGCTGAGCTCGCGCAGATTGTAGGCTTTGTGAAGACGTTCGTCGGTGACGAACTCTACTTCCTGCGTTGGAAGAAACCGTTTTCGTCTGGTCGCTTTGATTCCAACATGAAAAAATGTGTTCTACCGTTCTCATTTACACTTCCTGAATATTGCACACAAGGACCGACAGCTATTAAATTACCACCGAGTTTCAATAATACAGATGGCGACCCCGGTCTTGGGCCTCAGGCGATCCAGTACCGATGCCAAGTCAAAGTGCCGACCAGCAAGTGGTTTGCCGATAAAACGTATGTGGTCTCGCTTCTGCCCTACCATACTGACTTACTCGTATTAGCCTATACCAGACATTCCACTTCCTGCCACGGACGCGACCCGTCCAAGTGACCGCAGAGCATGAGGAAGACCTGTATCAAAAGTTCACTAATACGATATCCGGCATCATCTTTGGCCAGCGAAATGTTCAGGTCCAGTGTGTACTGTCGCTGTCACGCCCCCTAGTATATTCTCGAGGAGAGAGCATCAAGTTTATTCTGTCGCTTTCGTCGTCTGATCCACAGGCGCTAGATTTGCTGTCGTCAGCAGAGGCGATATCCGTCTGGCTACAGCGGAACGTTCGTACTGTCGCACCCGCGAGATACGACGTCGTCAGTGACCTGTCAAATAACTGCTCGCGTCGAGTGGTAGACGCAGTCATTGAAAGAGCACGGGAAACTTCTTGCGAGAACATGCGAGTATGGAAAGGGTTCATTCCTGTCGATGAGGGGCTCGCACCGCACTATTTCTTCCCTTCCTTATCTGTCATCGTGAGCTCTCTTTCCCACCTCACCCTCACACGCTGATGCTATTCAGTACGGTATATCCGTCATGATCCAAACGACGGGATTCATGATGACCTCGTCAACCGAAGACCCCGAGTCTTACGTGCGCGAATTGCTCATGTTCGCACAACTCGTCGACTTACCAGACGAGGCGCTTGCCGATAAACCCATATTTCTCGTACCGGTCGGCATTGCGACCGATACTGCGCACGTTGCGCTGCCGAGATGGAGTGCGCCAACGGAGCCTCCGCCGTACCAGGTGTGACGTGGAGATGCAGTGCAGGGAAGAGTTTGTCAAGTGGGGAAGAGGCCACTGAGAGCGACATTGGGGCTGTCATGTATAAAAATATCAAATCAAAGCTATCAAGTGAAGTTCTTCACAAAGCATGCAGTCATTCGAGGGGTATAAGTCACTTCCGGTGAACAGCCCTCAATGTTTTAGGAGTCCAGTTGTTATGAGGGCCATCCGATGTTGTAACACGTCGAGGGAAAAGAAGTTAAACGAAAGAAAAAGACCAATTCTCGATGGACGACATGAGGGTCGAACTCATGACCTCTCGCAATTTCATTGCGTAGGCAATGCAAAGCGAGCGCTACTACCACTGAGCTAGACGCCCAATTGTTTTGATGGCTCCATTTTTGATTTTTTAATAACGTTCTTTTCTGCCACCACAAAACCCCGAAAGCATCCGGTCCGTTTCCGCCTCTTGGTGGGACATCCCTGACGCCGTTCTTACCTCTGTTCTCTCTACGTCAACTCTTTGCTGCCCAATTACACGGAGAGCCAAGCCCCATGCATGGCATCTTTAATGCGCTGATAGCGAATCAACGCCCCGGATTTCCCTTTCTTCGAGAGGCGCTGGCCCACATGGTAAAGGCGCTTCGGAATGATCAAAGATGGCAGGTTCGGATACTGGTTGATCTGCGATATCTGGGACCAGATAAATGTGGGAGGCGGCACGTGTTGGCATTGATGAAGTTTTAGTAGGCGCTGTACTCGAACTGTGGACCTGTCTTCTCAATCATCCCAAGTTGCTTAGATCTCCCTCTTTTGCTCGATTTCCCTTCTTGAGGCTACCAGAATACTTAGGACCTGGGACGAACTCCGAACCCCGACTTTCCCTGTATCCGAAGACAACCTCTCACCCGCCACAACGCACGCAATTCCTGGTGTATATTCAGAAGTGACTAACGGGTATTGTGATTGCGATGCTTCTATCGCCGAGAGTGGCTGCCTTACATGCGCCTGTGTACTCTTCTGTCGCCTCTCTAAATGCGCAGCTGATGCCCAGGTACCTGCACAAGATGTGGCCCATACGGATCTCGGAGAGATGCTGCTTGTGGCATGTTGCCGTCGAACATGTCTGGACGATAGGCAAAACGAGTTGATTTAGCATATCCCCGAGCTCAGCTGTCTTGATTCGTCGCCGCATCAGCTCCACGTGACACATTGGCAAAACTGTTCCTCGATGCCCCGAACATACATCGTCGCCGCAGGTGCGTTCGCCACGCTGCATCCTCGTGTGCGCATATCGGCTAACATGTCTCTCCCAGTATCGAACTCCGATGACATGCCTCCATCTTAACCCTTCCGATGCACTCGCATGCAGCAGCCAGCTGACCATTCGTCCATCAAAGCGATAGATGTGGTGTGTGACCCGCTCACAATTCACAAGAGTTACCAAACTCTACAATTCATCCCGAGCTTGTATTGTCCAAACAAGGGTCTTGTCGGCTGAAGGTCCGAGTGCTGGCAAGAGCATCTAGAAAAAGTCCTGGATACAATAATTTGGCAACATTGATATCCGACGGTGTGAGGCGATCTTCATGATGTGCGGAAGGAAGACCGAACCCTAAAGGAATGCCGACGGGACACACTCAAAGAATCACTTCTAAATGACTGTTCTATGAGTAACGAACAAACAATTTTACCTCGCCGAAGGACGACCATATGCGTTATCAGTTCTTTTGAAAGCCTTTCTGTCCAAGGCGTCTCGTGCAGCTTCCATTTCGGATCGAGATTTGGACATAATTGTCTGCTCTCCTCGCACAATTAACCACGCGTTCATGACCAGCTAGCAACCGGAAGCGTCTTCAATGGCGAGACCCTGATGAGAGAAGCTGTTTCAGACAATGCTTCTGCCGTCTTACAGCCCCAAATGGACTTAGAGGGAGATAAGTAGCAGACAGACCAATGTCAGGGGCATCATCACGTTCTCTCGTGTTGCGTCCGCGTCTCGGTGAGAATCCCAATCTGGAAGGGTTCACTTCACGGTTTTGTTCTCCCACCACGCTAATTCGACTTCAGGCGTATGACATACCCCGGAGCTAGCCATGAGAAGATGCCTCCCCACTCGTTGGAACTGGATCCACTTATTCATGCGTTCACTCCGGCGTCACAAATAAACGGAACCTAACAGGGCGCCAGACCGGGTTTGGACCTTCGGCTCGACACCACAGGTACCTTATGGTGACTGGCCTGCTAGGGGCTAGACTATAAAGATGCCCCTGACTGCTATACATCATAGCCATCCAGCAGTGCTCGCCCCACCTCGCTAGCGTCTACCCTATTGGTTATCTTACAAATACTGTGAGTCTTGTCTTGATGACATCTTACACCAAGTCGACCATGAGCACTGACGATGATGCCTCTTTACAGAAAATGGCTTTCAACCCAAGATACGCTTCTACCGCAGACCCCCGGGCTCTACGAGCCACCAAAAGCATGGCCGTTTTCGGTGGTTCAATGAAGCAGGTATTTGTTTTTCGTCGCTCTCCTGCCTTGTCTTGTTGACCCCTTTCAAGCCTGGAGCTGGTCTCCGCGATGCTGCATACGTGTCTCCATTCATGACCTTTCGACCAATACCTGGTGTTCCCGAGCCGCCCTTCCAGTACTTTCCTCCCACCGGGTCTGGCAGTGTTGCACTCAAAGGCGAGAACGGTTACCTTGATCGCCAACGCCCGGCTCCCCCTCCCTTTCACCATGCTCGACCGAAAGCACCACTCGAGTTGCTTGGTAGGCTGCCAAGGCCACGCCCTGTCGACCTTCTACGGGACGACATGGAGAAGAAAATGGACGACGCTTTCCTCAGTATGCCGGAAGACTGCCAGGAATGCGTCCGTATGCAAGTAACGCAGGAGTTATGGCTCAAGAAGATGATGGATGATGAAGATGCGATCATAGACACCAAAATGAAGTACCTCGTCGCTATGCTGGAGTGGCTTGGGAACTTGCAGAATGGCGCCCATTTCCTTGGTTTCGCTCAGCGGGTAATGGATGCGACTTTGCGATTCATCCTCGCGAACCGTGGACTCTAACGACGACGATGATCGAAATGCACACAGGATTTCGTCATCAGCGCCTTCGGATGTTGTTTCGGCAGAACTGCCTCACGTGCTCTAATACTCTACTATTCGCAGTTTGTACAGCATGACAGTTACTCTACAAAGACGCATCCGAGCGGAGCTTTAATACACCTCATGTTTAATGGACTGGTTTCCGTAATTCTGCAGGTACCCTCGCGCCGATTTCCGGTCGGCATAACGGGAGTAAAAGGACGCGAGCCCTGATAAGCTGCCCTTGCATGAATTGACCCAAAACTGGATTGTTGTTACGTATAGCGACAATGTGAAATTTTGGTGTAACATTGAGTGAAATTATTGAGAAGAAACAAAGGATTCAGCAGGAACACGCCGAGACAACAATTTGTGTAGACAAAGGGCAGTTTCATCTGGAAACCAAGTGGCCAGTTTGGGCCAAATGCCGAGAGGTGTCAGGGTCCGCCTTCTTGTGAGGTATTACAAGAACCGGCAAGCGCCCGCCGGGAAGAAGAGAATTAGTCAATCGCACCTGAATAGAGCAGTGAAGGGCACCCCGACAGTCTAGACACATTCCACAGCGCTGGGAGAACAGCCCATGCCACGAGGCGACGAAGCAGGGTCCAGGGAGCGTTTCGCACACCGCTCCTCTGTCAGATTTGCAATCTCTTTCAGGTCGATGACTCTGAATGGCCACGTGAGCCAATGGCCGCCGCTTCGGTTCGCCGGGAGGTCCATATCTTCCAGCAGTTCATCCATAGCCTGTGGCCAGCTGCAAATGCATGCTCATCAGAGTTCGTCAAGGGTACAGTACTAGTCTCCATCACGTACTTCCAGAAGGCAATGCTTGCCGCGTAGCTTTCGTTGGCCCACCCAAGCATACCCGGGTGACGTTTCCTCATCCTGAAACAACGGCCGTTGGAGCACGATAATTTTCCAGAAGCTGAAAACCTCACCAAGCCGCATTTTTTTCCGTCTCCATCCTCGCCTCGTCGATCGTTGGGGGGAGCCGGAGCGGATCCCCCAAAAAGTAGGAAGAGATCCAGTGTGCAACGGTTTCGAATACATACCCATTGTTCGTCGTGAACTGTAATGAAAACACGTAGAGAGTTTCAGAGTTTCAGGAATCAGCAATCAGCGTACGGGAATCCACGGAAACAGAGTTGGACGAACAATGGCTCCATTGACTGCGAAGTCTCTTTTGGCCAGGTTCTGCACGGGAGCAATTCCCCTATACAACGCCGATGCCCATTGTCCCTCTGTGTCATGCGGGTTCCGTCCCGGCTCCGTAGGGTTGAATTCACTAGCGAGCGAAGCATAGTTCAGATTATGGAAATGCATTTCAGGAACAGTGGGAGGGTGTCGTTCGAGACCGACGTTCTTCATTGTCTGCACTGTTTCCAGGGTCAATATCACCATCACATCACATCCTTCTTCACGATCATGATTGTATCACTGTGACGAACAGACATACCACTTAGCAGTCCCCCCCAACTCGGGCCATATCCTGTTGCTAGAATCACCGCCCCCGCCGGTATCGCTCTTCCGTCGGCGAGCCGAACGGACCGACGGTCGCTGCAGAACCCGATCGCCCGCGCAGGTGAGATGAGGGAGATAGCGCCTTTGTTCACCAGGCTGTGGAATCGGGTAGGCGAAGGAATGCCCTCATCATTCGTCCGGATGGACCAGAAGATGGAATGAGAGCGACGGAGCGGGGAGTCGGGTGGAATGCTTAGGGCAAAGAACTGAGTTGATCAGGTGGGCAGATATTGTGAGTGGAGATCACTCACGGACAGAAAGGACACTATGGCCCAAAATCCATGAACGATCTTGGCCCCTAGCCGCGTCTTGTGCAAGAACTGTCTGGTTGTCCGTGAGCTCAAGCGATGCCAAAGTAGCTATTGAAACGGCGGCGATGCGACTCACTCGAGCAGGGATGGCAACTGCCTGCTGGGCGACATGATGCTGAGGACTCTGCTGCGTCGGATGAAGTCTGGCCAGGGGACGGGACACGCGAGGACCGCATCTGTACTCTCGAAGATGACAAGAACTTTCGTGCCGTGATTCGCAAGATAGGCGGCGATACTACTTGGTTGTCAGCTTCTCAGCCTGCTATTCCTTGGAGGACGTACTCTTGGGCTGACTTGCCCCCTCCTACGATGACTGCTTGAACAGCCTCGCATGCAGCGAGGACATCCTCCTTCTGCTTTCCGAACTCTTGGCTGTGCAACACGGGCCCTTTGAACCCCATGTTCTTAGCAGCAGTTGGAGAGATCTCAGGAGGTATATGGGGTGCACTACATCCCTATTCCGTCGTCAGTACAGCGAAAGGATCAGAAAACCTGGCATACTCCAGTACAGAGGACGACTCTCCGGAACCTCAATTGTTCCTTCTTCCCGTTCTTCAGGTCTCTGGTGCTGAGGATATATCCCTCCCCGTCTGGATTTTCGCTCACATCCTCTACTTCGACACCGTATCGGATGCATCCGTGAAGGAAATTGTGCGCATAGGCCTTCATATATGCGTTCAGGTCTTCGCCCCCTAATCGGCCTGACCCCGTACTAGGAGGTGGCATACCCAGAGCGGAGAATCTGAACTCTCCATGGACACTAAGCCTGTTAGTCCAGCTGGAAAACGTAGGGCCAAGAAACAGCACGCACTTGTTGATCTCCAAACCTGGGTATATGCGCTCTGCAGCCCAAACCCCACCTGGTGTCCGGTCTCGTGTGAGGACCTGCACAGGGAAGCCGTCTTTGACCAATGTATGCGCAGTGATGAGCCCTGCAGCTCCGGCGCCAATGATGCCTACTATCTCGGACGGGTCTGGCATGCGTTCCTGTTCTTGCTAGTGGAGCTACTAGTCGACGTGCAAGCCATATACTGCATCCTGGAGAACCGAGTGCCAAGACCCCTACCAAAGCAGCGGACGCGAGCTCATCGTCTTGTGGGCGTTTTCCATCGTCGGACCGTGCTCCGTCGCCATCGGTGCCGTCATGCACTGGGGAATACCATCGCTGGAAGCTGTAAAATACCGAAGATGTCCGCAAACCACGCTGGGCCGGCATCCGCGGCGGAAGGATCGGATCCCTTTCGGGCCGGCGGAATGTGACCCGCCCAAAATAGCCATTCGAACTTCGCTGTTCCTCGACCATTCCCTTCAAATTCTGCTTTTATCCATGTCCCGCTCCCCTGATTGTCTTTGATCGGGGACTTCCGTAATTTTCTGTGTTTTGTTGAGCGGTTCTGGTGCTGCGCCTACTTACGTGCCATGTTAGGTGCGCAGACCCTTGTGGGAAATTGCTTCCACGGAAGTAAAACTTTTCGTCGTCGTCTGCGCAGCTCCGGTCATTGTTGGTGACAGTGCGCAGACTACAACCATGGCTCATCCTCAGGCTCTTCAGAATGCTTTTGTACGAGACGGATATGCACCTGGCGGCCTCCTTGCTTATATGTCTACTGCCAGCAGAGAAGAATTCCGAGCTCAGAGCGGTGCAAGAATGGTAGCAGATGGGGTGAGCGTGTCAGAGTGGAGATGCAGATGCAGGGAGCAAGGGGACGGTCCAGGGCAAGGGAGTTGTTGAGGGAGAGGAAGAGGAGGGATCAGCAGAGGCATAGAGAGGACCAGAAAGAGCAGGAGATTCTTGCTGGAGAGCGCAGTCCGGGTGGAACCAAGCTTAGAAAGGTGCGCACTTTGTCTAGCACATTTCACAAAGATCTCACTATGAAAATAGAAGCGGGACATAATTGTGATCAGTGATCCTGATAGCCCAAATAATGACGAGTCTCAAGCTACCTTCACCATGGTCACAGCTATCCAGAAGGCTGAGATATCACGACCTTTCAGAAAATCCAAGTCCGGTCAAGCAGCCAAAAACATGAACTGGTTTGAGCCGTTTGTGTGGGACCAGATCAATGCCGTGACAAAGGTGGTTGGGTGGAGCCCTTCTGCTATTGTCAATGAGCTCAGAAAGAAGAATCCTCGAGTGTTTGCTGGCAATCCTGCTCTGCATCCAGGAACTGTCCGACGGTGGATTGTACCTGGCAAAGACTGGACAGACCAAGTCCGGGCTCATGTGCAGATGGGACCAAGGCAGGTCTACAATGCCGCGGGTCCAAATGGTGTACTGGTGAGCAGTTCTCCCTCTGCTTGGGCTTCATAACACTGTGCTCACTGCCGTCTATTCAGGATGGTTGCCTTGATACTGTCGAGCGAATCAAGTTGCAGCTCCTTCAGCTCCGTGCTGCTGGTATCTCCTAAACCTCTCCACCTGTCAGGGGATCATTATTGCACATCTGTCAGAAGATCATCCTGAGGTGTTTCAACGAAAGCTCCGTCATTCTGGTCTATGCTTCAATGCTGGCCTCAACTTCGCCCGTCGCTTTCTTCACTTTCAGCTCAACTGGACGCTTCGACAAGGTACTCAAGCAGCTCAGAAGCTTCCAGTCAACTACAAGGAGCAATGCTATGAGCTTGCGCTCCACTGTGCCTGGCGAATCCGAGCAACAAAGGTCGCAAAGGACTGTATCGTCAACTCCGATCAGATGCAGCTTCAGCTTCAGTTCAGCCCCGTCACATATGAGGAGCGAGGCTCAAAGTAAGTTGCTATCCTTGGCAAGGATGAGAAGCGAGCATGTACTGTGGTTACCGGTCTCTCAATGGGTGGCACCCTCCTTCCATTCCAGTCGGTCTCGGCTGGCGTCCACTCTGTCTGTTTGCCATTTGGTGGTGAACTACAGTCCGAGGAGATGTATGAAGCACTCGAAGCTGGACATCTCTTCTCACTCTCTCGAGGCACATATTGGTCGACACACCCAACAATTCATGAATATGTCCACAAACTCCTTGCACCATACTTTCGAGCTGCCAATCATCGCAATGGGCGTGCACTTGAAGCACGATGCATTTGGATCATCGATGCATGGGCTGTTCACCGATCAAAAGAGCTCAGGCAGTGGATGCATACCCATTTTCCATGGATCGGATTGCTCTATGTACCGGGTGGCTGCACTGGTGTTATTCAGCCTGCAGACACTGGCATGCAACGTCCTCTTAAAGCAATCATCCGAAAGGCTGCACTTGATGATGTGATCCAGGAGACTCAAGAGCAACTCAAGCATGGTTGGATTGCCCCAGAAACTATCAAACTCGATGTCACTCTTGGGACCCTTCGTGATCGCACGGTCCGATGGCTCCTGGAAGCACACAAAGCATGCAACACACCCGAGCGAGTCTTGAATGCATGGCAGATCTGCAATACCGGAGTTGATGACATCACTCTGTCCTATGACTGCCTCACCTCACCAGCAATGCTTGCCAGGCTTGATGAGCTCCCCTTTGTGAATGAAGAACTGTATCGGAAGATCCTTCCAGGAGCCAGTGATGAACTGCCTGAATCAGTCCGACTCCCAGAAGATGACGAGGCAGAATTGGGTTTTACCCAGGTCGATGCAGCAATGGCAGCTGAGGAGTACGGAAATGCGCTTGAAGAGATGTTTGCAGATATAGTGCTTCATGACTAGATATCATGCCATGTACATACACACTCCCGGATAAGTGCGCAAAGCTATCTCGAGGCGGTGACACAAGGAAATTTTGCGCAGCTGACAGTGGTGGTGACAGGTGACGTGCGCACCTAACATGGCACGTACAGTACTCGGATCCGAATCGCAGAAATGGTCGCATGCTGCGTGGTCAGGAGTTCTTGGCTGCTTTCGGGGATCACGGGAAGTAAAATTTGGTTTCTCCTGTTTGACTCTTTGTTGCAACGTTGCAGTTCTTCCTGATTCCGCATATGCACGGACAAGGAAATCCGTTTTCCTGTCGCTTCTCCTCTTCTTTCCAAACTGCATACAACCCTACTGCCTGGTATCCGGTATTCTTTTCGGCCGGTCGATCCCTCCAATCCCTACGCCGGAGCAAACTCATAGTACTGAATCTGGCCATCCTCTGTCCTCCCCGATCAACTTTTGGTCTCCTGATCGTCCTCCCACTCTGGCTGCACCATCACCATGCTTATGGACAATGACTATAATGAAAAGCTGTAATAAGTGACTCCAGTGCGGCGAGACTGAGACGACCACGTAGAACAGCATGCCTTCCCCCGCACTGCTGCTCCTACTGCTGCTAGTGACAGTCTCACCCGTGCTCTGCGATCCCCTCCCACCCCAAGCGCAGCCTTCTTCTCCACAGGTCTATCCGGGAGTGCTGCGGCTCCAACACTTGCACACCCAGATGGAAATCGGCACAGGTCTTCTCTAAGTACTATGAGACTTGGATACTGCAGGTGGGGCTCTCTGATCTATTGTGGATTAACGTTCTGACGCGATCAGGTGTCCATCACACTGCCGCCTTCTGGTTTACGTCACCCACCCTCCTTCATGTGATTCGACCTTGATACTGGTCGACTACAGCACCCCTCCTACCACCCCTTCCGATTCTCCTGTACCAACTCTTGCGACATGCTGAGCACTGTCGATTGTCGATGTTATCGGGACTGTTGACCCTCTTCCCATATCACCCTCACCATTCCCTCACAAGACTGGTCCAAGATAGCACGCTATTCGGGCTCACTGTTTTGTGGAGCTTGTAGTATTCTTTTGTCTTTTGTCGAACTGTCGTTGAACTGTTTGGACTGACATGCTGGTTCTCATTTGTCTATGTTACTATTGTCTATTGTGCCTTTATTGCACACCCATCTCTTATCAGTTGAGTTTAAGTATGTACAAAAATATCATCATTACGCGAGAACAGTACAACAACAGCAAAGTCTACAGATATGCCCAAAGGCAGGATACCAATCCTGCCAAAACAATCAAAGCCAGTGTAGTATACAATCGCAGCGACTAGTTTTACACCCGACACCGGCGGGGCGTTTCACACGTCTTAACAACAGAAAGAAGAAATACAAGGGAACTGGTCACCCACGTCCAGTCAAGCGACTCAAGAACCCCCTGCTTGGCCGCTTCTTGACTTCCTGCGCTTGAGCCTGGGGGTCGGGTACTGAGACATCCGCTGGGTCAGCCGGCTCGAGCTCCCCAATTCCAGCGAACATGAACGCTCCTCGCAGAGTGGTCTTCACGGGGGTGGTCGTTACCGGGCAGGATGGCTCAGTCTTGTGCCTCCGCCTAGGCGGCGGGTCCTCCGGCTCCACCACCGCCTCTTTCTTCGACCTCTTCCCGCCAGGTGAAATCCCAGCATCACCCTGCAGCGGCAGGTGAGCGTGCTTTTCGAACAAAACGCGGTGAACAGGGGACAGGCCAGGCGAGCGGTTCTCGATAGGGACGAGCACGCGCCCTCCCTCCCTGGGGACACTTACCATCGTTGCTGGGAGCTTTGATTGAGAGTCTTGCGAGGCACCGGAAGCGGGGATGCTGAGACTCAAGGCAACACCTTCTCGGTCCTCAGCGGAGGACCGCTGGACAGGAGGGACGTTCTCATCATATCCCCCTCCGCCTAGCCGTGTGGGTAGATGATAACCCCCTCCAGCGCTCCTGGGCGGTCCTTCACTCGTCCCAGGAGTGATTGGGCGTCCAGTGCCACTGGCACTCGTCCCGCGTCTCGACTCCTTGGCGACCTTGCGCGAGCGCGCATCGATCTGCCTCTGCACGGCAAGACAACGAGATTTGAGCATCTCCCATTCCGGAGGGGGAGGTTTAGCCGCTGCACCCGCTCCTGCTGGTGGACATATAATCCCCGTAACGGACTCTGATGTAGCGGGCCGATGTAAAGGAACACCAGCGGTAAGGGCTGATGGTGTCACGGGTGGGTCGCTCATCCGATCCCGAGCAGCAGCGGTAATTGTTGCAGCAAGGAGCGCGTATTCCCTTGGAAGGTCGCGTGGCCGGGCAGGAATGGGGACTGACTGACCATGCAAAGGCGAAAGGGTACGTTCGAGCGCGGCAAGAGAATCGCCTGTGTGTGCGAGGGCAGGAGAGTAGGGCAGGGGCTTGGGTGTGGATGACGAGGAGATAGCGGTGAGGAAGGCTCTCGCAGAGTCGTGGTGCGTCGAGAGGAACGAGTTCAGCGGTTGCAATTTCTCTTCTTTGAACTCCTGCACGCATATAAGTATAGTTATCATGCCCAGAGACAAGATCGCACGTACAGAGTTGAAGAGCGACAGCCCATGGACCATTTTACCCAAGAGCATGAGCATCTCCCGAACACCGTCCTCTAATGGGGCATCGACAATTCCAAACTGAACAGGGCTGCCAACACCTTTTAGCAGAAAGGCGAAAAGGACGAAGAAAGCAACGATCTTTAGTTCCAATGCGGGCTCGGTATCGCCGAACTTGGACGAGATGGAAGTACGCACAATCGAGAGGAAGTGGCGGATCTCGCTGGGGAACGGTCAATGTCAGCATTGTTCAAAATCATGCAGAAATGAAGAAAAAGAAACAAGGTCTTGATTTTCAGGCCCAGAAGGGCCAAGTAGGACAAATATCCCAACCCGATCGGGCAAAGGCAAGAGAAACTCACCCTGGGCAGCCTTCTTCCGCTTTCAAGATGCCCTCCCACATTTTCCCCGCCCAGAGCGCCACCCTCTCCTTATCCTCTTTTACAAATTCTCTCCCTCCCTCCAGGCCCCTTCCTTCCTTCACCACATCCCTCACAACGCCTCCCACCGCATCGTGCAGCCATCCTGAACCAACGGTACGGAATGCCGCAGCGACAGCACCAAGCAGGCCGTTGTTGCTCCTGAACAGGGCGCCCGTGTGGCTCGGCGAGCAGTTGGTAACTTCAGATCGCACGGCACGTGCCAAGTCGCGCCATACCTTGCCTGACGCGCAGCCTAGCGGGCCAAGGGTGTCTTGGGTAAGGGTGTTGAGCCCGGGGAGAGGTCGAAGGCGGAGGAAGAGGTCGGGGAGGGAAGTTTGCGGGTGGGAGAGGTACTGCGTACATCATGTCGTCAGCTTTGATGGACGTGAATGCCAGGAGGCGGAGGACGTACTTCATGTAAAGGCGCATACTCGATCCAAGGGAGAACATGCACATCGTCTATCCTCACTCTGGCCCTCACTGACCCACTTCCATTTGTAGGGCCCTCCAAAGCCCACCGTTCTTCGACCCACCTATTTCTCCCCACGCCGGAAAGCTCCACCCTCCCTACACAAGCCCACCTCTCGTCTTTCCACCAAAATATTTCGGTGTCCTTCTCCTTCTCCCTGCTTTTGTCCTTTCCCCAGAGCTTGTCTCCCGCGTTCTCCCTTTCGCGGTCTTTCTTTCCACCCTCCTCCCTGGAGCGAGCGAACACCTCCAACCCTAACCGCTCCACTCTCGGCACGTCCCCCATATCCAGCACCACCGCGCTCGGCCAAGGTCCAGCCAGGAGCGCACAAGGGCCCTCATTAACCGTCACAAGGACTCTTACGTCCTGTGGTGCCACCTGCGCCTGCATCTCAGGTGCAGGTTGTCCCTTCCCACTCGAGGTTGAACCAAGTTGAGGGAGCTCAACACCCAGCAACTGAAACCCGACCTTTCTGCAAGACCTCCACAAACCCCCGGCTTCCCTCGCTCCCGGTACGCTCAAACCCCTCAGCTCGGGCTTCGTCAACGCCCTACAGAGTGCAAGAAACGTAGACGCGGGGGAAGGGTGGGTGAACGCGATGTAGATCGGTTGATTGGAGAAGGGGGATATCGGGCTGGACGGAGTGGGAGTGGTGGGAGATGGATAAGTGGGAGACGGAGCGTTTGTGGCAACGGCAAGCGGTGGATAGATAGCGATTATGTGCGGCTTGCTGAAGAGGGAACGATGTACCGTTCGCACAGAGGTGCTGGGAAGGCTATGTAGCTTCAGCTGACGTGTTGGGAGGGGGTCTGCGCTCTGCAAGCAAGTGTTAGTAGCTGTTCTTCAGGACAAGGGAAAGAGTAGCAAAGAGGGGATGATGTAGAAGCAGGGGGTAGAACACACCTTATCGACAACCTCCATCAGAACCTCCCTGCCTCCCTTCCGGATAACGACCTTCCCAGCGGTCCAAGCGCCTGATCCTGACCCAGGGAAAGCAGTTCCCGGTCCCTTCTGCACCATATGCATATCCTCCCTCGAGCGTTGGAAAAGCCGTCCGCTCGCCGCACTGCTATTGCTGGGTGAAGGAGACGGCGCAGAGGATGGACGAATTGAACCAGCGCTGCGGATCCGAGAGAGTCGGTGGAGAACGCTCTGCGTTTCGTTAGCTTGGGGGATGGAACAGAACAGGGGGGGAAAACGGACCTCGTTTGCCACCGGTAGGGGTACAGGCGCTACCACGGGAACAGGAGTGGGTAGTAGATTCCATAGTTCGACGCCTTCCAGTGTCCAGTCTACGTCCTCTACATCGGGGGAGTCTGCGGTCCAAGTGGTGACAATATCGCTCTTCCCTGAATGGGTGGCCATCCCTCTTGCTCTAACGCGCTGCTTGGGTGGTGGTACCTCCCAATCCTGTGTGCCAAGACTCCGGGTGGGAAAGCAAGTCTCCCTCAACGGGCTCGCACGCGGCGTGAGCGGTAAACTGACCAGCCGTTGACCGTTCTTCTCGTGCACGTACTGATGTGCCTCGTCGTTCGAGCGCGTCCCCGGCCTCGAAAGAAGCACCGGCAAAGGCGGCACAGGTGGCACACCCAAGCTGGGCGCAGTACTTGGTCTTCCTGCGCCGAAGGAACGCAGACGCCTGAGCTTTGCAGGACTAGTGCGTAACGAGCTCGGCGGGGAGGGTGGCAGAGGGTCTAGGGACATGGTTAGCTCTGTTGCTTGGGGGGCTTCTAGCATAGAACGTAGGGCAACGCAGGGTTAAAGAAGTCCTGGAGGATGATATATCTTACCTCATAAACAGGTAAAAGTCTGTTTGGTTGGGTGGTCGGCGGTCAGGCCACGGATGTGTAATAGAAAAAAAAAAGTGTATAGAAATGTAAGTAATGTTGGTACACTTTTGCCCATCCAGCGTGTTGCCTCTCATGGACACTGCCACTTCCACATACAGACGATATGCACCACACATTGGGTGTTTGTTCACCTACCACCAACTGGCCTTGTTGTCAGGCACACGACGGGGGAATGGCCCAAAAGCCACATATGTGTTATACAACAATGGATATTATGCACAGCGTACAAGGCCAAACGCCAGCCAGGCACACGACCTCGCCTTTCGTATACATACCTAACATACCCAACATACCTCACAGGGTGTAATCACAGATCGGTGGGCCCTAGCCACTCCCCTTGCTTCACCACCCATCTCAGCCCCCATCCTTCACGCAGAAAAGATGCTTCACGTGCCGTATATCTAAGAATATCAGCATCACGGACCTGCCAAGTAGTAAACATTTGACCCTATGGGGCTCTGGAACCGCAGATCTACCCAACCCCATCAAAGGATCGGGAGTCACACTGCCGACATCTTCAAATCCGTCTTTAACAGTCGTACAAGAGCCTGAAGAGACAAACCCTGACCAGGAACAGGGACAGCTGTCAGTCTCTTCGCTACCACACATGGGCAACAACCAGGTCTCACGAGGGACGCTTTTCTCATAGACCGATGCCGTCAAGCCGTCTGCCTTCCTCAGCCCCGGTACGAGCACCCATGAAGCGCTCAAAACAGTTCCTGCCAAGCCCGAGAGACCGGAAATTGCGGCCCTTTCTGTCATTGCTTAGTGTAGAGCCGCATACCGAAGGTTCGGACTGAGGCGGTGATTGTCGCGGGCGCTCATCTCGCGGCTGCTGGAGAAGCATAAGCCAGGCATGTGCATTTGCCATGGCGTGCAAGTTGAAAAGCCAGGAACCAGGTGCACCCTTTCTTCCCATCCACGTGAGTCGCCACGATACAGAATCCGGTGCCACACTTGGCCCGAATAAGTGAGCGGGAGCCAAACACGATATCATGAGCAGCCGCTGGAGGAAGTGTGAAGCCCCGGTATCGCACTTCTCCCCAGAAGGCAATAACAAGTCAAACGCGCCGTCAGACACAAGCCACAGCCTGAACAAGTGGGAGCCGAAAGCCTGTTTCCTCACGCGTCCAGATGAGCTCTTGCTGCGAATACTGGTATATCTCCGTCACACTTCGTCCAAAGAGGCAATCATAAGCCAAGCAGATGGCTGCAGCCTGCAGCACCGGAAGGGGGGAATACGGGTCCTCGGGAGCCGGGAGAAGAACAGAGCAGAGTCCCGGGGCCGTATTTCGCTTGAAAAGACAACCACATCCCAAGTCCACGGTACAGGGTGAACGGCCGGAAAACAGGAGTCTGACCCCATGCAGTGGTCCGATGACCAGGGAACGCGACCATGTCCCGGTGTCGCACAAATCGCCCAAAAGAGCCGTAGAACAAGAAAATAGACCTGCTTCCTGTTGATACTGCGTGGAGCGCGACCCGAGAGGAAGGAGTCGGGATCGAGTCTCGTGCGCGCAGTTGGCCCGAAGAAGCAAGCGCGAACCAAACGCGGCATGCTATACGAATCTCGGGCCAGAGGGAAAATAGAAAACATAAGCCAAAGGCCGCAGATGCACATGGACCATGTATAGGAAAAGCGCCGTATAAACCCTGCTGTGCCGGTCAATACTACATACCGACAACACAGCGAGCCGACTGGCGCATACCATATCCCATATGCTGAGATACTATTTGTGGTTGAGCACCAGGGCAAGACATCTTGCCTCGGAAAGAACAGCTTGGTAGGTCCGAGGGGCACAGGCGTTCCGGCAGCAGCACAGATAAAGCCCACGATTGATCAAGCCTTTCGCGATCGACCAAGCCAGTTTAACCTTGCCGTCGCTAACGAGCATCCTCAGCACTTCGGCAAAGTAGGATCTCGACAATAAGAGCATACAACCCACGGATCAGACAGGGTGATCCCAAGAATATGGTTGTAGGGGTCGAGTTGATCAATCTGACGCGTGGAGGCCATCAAATCCGAATTCGGAGGCTGCCACCACTGCCACCATCAGTTCCACGTCAACCCAGTGACCGCCTTACGTGGTCTGTGACGACCACTAATATTCTAGGGCCAACATAATGTCTACACTCTGATTCAAGAGCAAATATGATTCTCCTTCTTTTACGTTGGAGGGGGCACCGTCACTCCGGCCAGTGCGGATTCGCACTAGTACTTCTCTCATGAAGTGCTGTACGTCCGCAATCATGGCGCCGGCAGTCCGCCTGTCTATGAGTCACCCCGACTCACGCCCGTGGCAAGCAAAGCATCGCAGAAAGTAACAGTGCAACTGACGTGTCCGCAATCCATCGGCCCCGTCAGATACCCGGGCCCAATGTCCACATTTTCCTGATTCAGGGACATCCGGGAGTCGGTTTGTCCATTCCCAAACCGAGCAAAACGCTGATGAGGGTTTCCGCAGGCGTTTCAGATTGCCACAGGAACGGACATCGCTGGGCTATTGACTATACGCGGCGGTCTGAGTGATGCGGATATCATACAACGATATCAACACTGGCTGTCATCTTCATGCTGCAATCTTCATGCTGCAGTGCGTGCATGCGCGCGCCCTGTTCATGCCGTTAGGCATGCGTGTACCGCGGGATCCTATACCTAGGTCAACTCGAGCACGGGATTCACGCTCTGCGGATCTCTCATCATTGTCAAGTCAGTGCGGGACAGTGCCTGCGCCTGTGTGTATTTCCGCAGAAAGGATGATATCGTCCACGGTCGACAGGTATAAAGAGGAGGCATGCTCAACAGTCTGCTCTCAAGATAACAGGCGTTTTACTTACCAGCACTCCAGCTTTACACTATGCCAATCGTTTCCACTATTCTTATGGCTTTGTTTGCCTTTATGCTTGCGAGCATAAACGCCACACCGATCCTTCCCCGGAACGAACACGCCCCAGCCCCCGACGCATGGTGTGGAGGTCATCCTTGCGGGGGATACGTAAGCCCTTCTACTCCACTTGTCAAGTTTTGCTCTCATGTACATGATAGAAGCGAGATGCCCTCGCTGAGACGAATACGTTCGGCCCGTCCACGCCCATCCTTGTTCGGCACGAGAGTGTATCTGCCCCACATGCCGATGCGTGGTGCGGAGGACGGCAATGCGAGGAATATGTGAGCTCCTCTCGCACTCCACTTGTCGACTTCTCATTTAATCGTATGATAGAAACGACTTGAACACCTTGAGTCGGAGACGTCCGACCCCTCCGGCGAGATCACGTATTGTGGAGGCGCTCCTTGCCCCGTCGATTGAAATGTTAGGACCAGTTTGTCCAATCCCACTTTGTTCATTATAGTGACAAGGACTCTTATACAATAATTGTCTTTGTATTTATTTATTCTACTGCTTTAACATCCTATTATGTATTTTCGTGTTATGAGGCTGGCTCTTTGCCGATGTATCTACAAACGAATTGTTTTTCTCTCATCCCAAGAGGAACAAGTGACTGGCCGCAATCAAGGGCATAAGCAGGTTCTTATGGTCATGATCCTGAATGACGGATGTCAATGTGTAGCTAGCACTATTTAGACCCAAGTCCTACAAGCAATGCTAATTCATGGGTATCAACTTGTGTAGAGTATTCAGAACAGTAGAGATATCCGATATACAAAACCCGACTATTAGTGCAATCCGCTTGAGCTCCAAGTCTCATCATTTAGCAGCCAGTAAGTCTCGAATGTAGTCCGTCAACGCCAATGCAAAATTGTCTGACGTGCATCGGACAGTCAGACGACACTTCTGATAGATCAGGTTCTGTTAATCAAGAGCACGTGTGGATCAGATCGTGACGGACCTTTTCCTCTCTGCTGGGTTCAACTCGGATCAAGAACCCCGCCTTCCCAGTAGCACTGGTGTAAACAACAGCGGCACCAACCATGTTGACGAGGTTCGGATCTACGCCCTCGAGACACCGGATTCTAGCGCCAGTGATCGTAGCTTGCTGTCCAAGTGTATCCACATCGCCACGCTTAAGAGCAATTGGGAAGAATACCTGTGCTTCGCGGGGAGGACCGCCAATTTTCTGCCACCTCATGTAAAAATCTTGCGGTTCCAGCTGGATCGGTTCGAAAAACTTGTGAATGACGACGGGGAGGCGCAGCACAAGAGATGTCAGAGATCCAGTGAGGAATGAAACGTGGAGGGTGGGTGGCTGTGTAAACAACTCCTTGCATTCGAATTCTACTTCGAGCATGGTATGCTCATTGGACTGGACTGTGGTCACCGGAAATTGCCGTATATCAAAAGTGAGATGGTCATGCTGTGGCGATTTGATTATTGCCGTCAGAGAGTCAAGTGCTGTCGGCAGCTTGTTGTGGAAGAATATGCGCATTCGCCCATGCGACATTCGATAATCCGACTTGAGAGATATACCCATTTGGACATCATCGTATAGCAAGCCGCTGTCTGAGAACAGTAGCTTCTGGTACCTCGCGTCCAAGTCAGGGCTGCGCAGTATGGCTTCTTCGCCATTTGCTGATGGGCCTCCTGACATGTCCAGCTCTGCCAACGCTGCCATAATGTCTGTTGCTCCATTCGGCACGCTGGTGGCTGCTCCGTGCGGCCGATTTCTTGAGGGCGAGGCGGTTGTTGTACTACTGGTGGTCACTCTCTTCAGGCTCTTCATCCGCATCATCTGAGCATCCTTCATCCCTTCTTTTCCTCCCACGACCCATGTTCGCTTATCGCCAGTGTCGCCGTGCTTCCTAGCGAGGCGGTTCAGTAGAGCACTTTCCCGCTCTGGGAAGGGCGGCATCTCATCCCAGACGGTTTGAAGTAACTCGTCGTCTTCTGGACGTTCTGCCAAGGCGAGATATTCGCACGCGCGTTGCTGCAGTTCCGAATCAAGAACATGTCGGTACCGATCGAACACAGTCATGAGCTGAGGTTTGATCTCGGGGAAGACGTTCACCCATTTGATGTAGGTGGTCAAAATCAGGGCGCGGGTATTGGCGTTGCAGAAGTTGGATTTGGCGTGGAGTGTCTGGAACTGTTCGTATGGGCTACATCCGGCCTCGTTGGCGATCAAATGTCCGTATTCGCCCAGAATATAACCCGCAATCTTGACAAGGCTCTCGTGGCACGTCGGCGACTTCAGGTAGTTGAAACAAGTATGGGCGGCGTAAGCTTGGAGATCCTCGGTATTGGTGACAATTTGGATGACACGGTACCAAACTTCATCGCCAACGTAATCGCCGGCCGCGCTGATAAGTTCCAGTATGGTGTCAACATACCACTTATACTCCTAAATGCCAGCATCAGCCATCAATAGCGGGAAGAGGGAGTCCTTGGCCTACCGTGGCAAACTTCTCGCAGCAAATGGCAATCTTGAGCACCATCTCCTCCCTCAAGCCATAATCGGCAATCTTCAGATAATTTAAAAGCTCCCCAACAATGATTTCCGCATTGTCGACATCGCACATGCTGTATAGTAAATCGAGCGCTCGTCTACGCACGCTGATATCCTTGTCCCGCAAGCTCATGATGATCGTGGTCTGATGTTTCTTGATGGGATCAAGGGTCTCGGCTAGGGCTGCAAGATGTGCCATCGTGTTGAGAGCCAGGTAACGGACGTTGGTTTCCTTTGAGGACAAGAAGCGACCAAGAAGCTGTGCGGACTGCGTAGCCAGCGAGGAGCGTGCATCGATGTGAATGATGGTATTGATCGCTTCGAACAATACCGCGTGAAGCGCGTTGTTGTGCTGGACGCTTCGAGGAATTTCCTGCATTTCAAGAAGGGTTGCGAGGACTTGCTCCATCATTCGCCGAAGTGCAGCATCCTCTGCACCAGATGTCAACGACTCGATTACCGAGCAACGCCGAGTAATTACGCACCTGGGGGCGGGTAGTATTGCAGCAGCTTCAGCAACTTGACTTGCAGCCAAGGAGATGGAATTTTATAGTAGTCATACAACCGGGAATCATATTGATGCCCAACTACAAGCTAGACACTCAGTTAGCGTCAGTGAAGGGTCAACGTGAACGCAGATAGTACCTTGTATAATCGATCTACAGCCTTTTGATACGATGTCTCGTATGCTTCCGGGAAATCCTGAGCCAGAGCAAGGACGAGACTGGTGACAGCAACCACAACACCCTATATGCCTGTTCTTAGCGATGCACGTGGAACGGAGACTGCGTACACACAAGGTCGCTGTCGTCCATTAACGATATGATGCGCAATGCCCATTCCTGCGCAGGTATGACCTGCGGATATTTCCGATACATACGAAGAAGAGCAAGTGCAGCTTTCTTCTTAACGAAGTTGTTTGATGTACTATTGAAAAAGTCAGATTCGTCTTTCTTGTGTGTGGTCCGAGTGGCTCACGGTGAGATCATCAATTTGTGCACATCAGGTGCCAACGCCTCAGCCATCTCATCGCCTCCAATATTTGCGATGGTCTGAAGCGCAAGGCAGTTGACCACGTCCCATCGGTCGTCAAGATCCTTTTTGATGGAATTAACGACCAGTCGAAGGAGGTCAGAATTCTCGGTGAGCATCAAGGTAACAGCCAAGTACCCCTGGTAAGTGTTAGTCGAGCAGATCCAATTCACCTTGCAACGACTCACAATCTGCTTTTCGGAGTATTTCTGAGCCGTCAAGAGCTGAATGGCCTCCATGTGTCCAAGATCCTGTTTGTAGCCCATGATGAAGCAGAACGCGATCTTCGCGACATACTTCTTGCGATCGTATGCACTAAGGTTCGGACCTATGTGTATGAAGTAAAAACCCGCTTCTGAGCTATGTGGTACGTGACTCACTTGCGAACTTTGTTCTTATGTTCGCCATCTCCTTGTTAATGGCCAGTCGCTCCGCCTCTCCAACCCGGGCAGCGCGGATGTTGGCGATGAACTACAGTACTTTCGTCAGTGCTTGCACCTGGAATAAGCGCAGTGAACTCACAAGGTTCAACCCTCGCATAGTCTGCGCCATGATGGGCAGCTCTCAAAGTGAGGATGGAGAGACGCGTGTGAGGAGAGGTCGGACGATGAGGGCGGGAGCGATGCCAAGGTGAGCTCACGCTCTATGGTCATTGTCCACGTGGAATTAAATAAAATAAGTTCGGCTCCGAGATGGCTGCCAATCTTTTGCCAGCGGCTTCTCATTGAACAACCACTTTCAACAAGCCTTTTATTTCTGTCCACAGCCGAAAAAAGCACGGACACACATGCAACCATCTAGTTGGTTCCAACATATCTGATGGCCATCTGGCAACTTTTGTGGCGTCATTCCATGACCATATTCGGCACGGCCAGCAAGTGCAAGATTGCCTGTTCACCTCACGGCACCTAGTCACTTCATTGGTCAGGATTGGCTACTCGACTCCGGCACAACCTCTCATATCACCCCACTTCGTGATGTCTTCCTCGACTACCAACCCCTCACCATGCATGAGATCAAGGGTATAGGCAACAATGCCATAAAGAGTCTGAAATTGCACGTCCATCCTGAATACTAGGTGGATATACATGGCCTGGGTAATCTGTTCCTATTGGCACCTGTTGAATTGTGAGGCTATCCATTCGCCGATCAGGCCAGCTGCAAGCGTGCCGAGTCTGCTGTTTGCGGTCACTTTCTATCGCTGATGTCAACGGAAGACTAAGGGTTCGCACGGCGCTTAGTCGCGTGCAGCTCCGTCACGTTGCCCGCTTGCCTTACGCCCACCATGCCGCGCAATTTGCGCGAGGTACGAGCAAGCTCACCTTGCATCTGCCCTTCGCTGGCAATGCTTCTACCGATGGTGTGGGAATGAACTGGCTCCTCGCGGACATAATGGCCTAGCCATATTCACACAGGCGCGATGATTCGGCAGCGGACCTCGACGCATCTTCCTCTGATGGACTGTGATTCCGCTCTGTGCGTGCCGAGACCTGCGGTTGCGCAACATTTTCAGGTTTGGATGTCTTTCAAGTCCCACCACACCCTTCCGGGACAGTTCCGCGTTGCTTTTCAGGGTGACGGTATGCTCCAATCCTCAAAAATACCTTCCAGCTCAACATTTCATATCTTTTCTAGTGTTGATCCCCAGCTCTCTGTCTGGTGCAGCCTTAGCATCTGCCGATACACTATGCCCAAGGTCACTCGTGGAAGCGGATCCAGCTTGTTCACCCAGGATGGCAAGCCGCTGAATTTTTTTTGTTGTCCCGCTCGGATTGAAGAAAGAAGAGCTCATCGCACTTGGGAACACCATTGAGGTGAGGGGAAAATTGGTCTGTACTACTTCATTCCCCGTCTAACGCAAGTTATGAGGCGAGTGGGGGTAGCTGCTCGCGACTTGACGACGCCGAGATTGTCCTTGCAAAACGAAATGCCGCTATACCACCTGCTCTTCTACAGCGCCTGACCACACAAACCATCTTGGACGTCGATTGGGTTCAGGCCTGTGTGAAAAGAGGCCATGTTTTTGAGTCTCAAGAGGAATGGGGAGGATACAGATTGTCTTCTCACGCTCGCGCACGGGCAGCGGTAGAAGATCAGTGAGAACTAATCCTTGACGAAGTTATTCACCTAGTCTGAGTCTGAAGCAGATTGCGAGCGTTCTATTACAACAGACGAGAGACGGAGCTCGTATGTATCTTGCGCGTTTATGGAATTGCTTACATATACTCTTCTCTGATAGCTGACCCATGATTCGTTCGAGGATAACTCTTTCTACACGCAAGGTGCCACGTTCTCGGAGAACGACGACGAGATATTAGTCCGTGTCTTTCGGTGGCACATTTTACAATGGCCTTCAATCCCTGTTGGGGTCCTCTTACAAAGGCTTGCTGAAGAGGTGAAGTCCCCCCGTGCTGGGTAGATATCAGGAAACGCTGACCCATTCGCTCTCCATACGAAAGCATCCTCACCACACCGCGGAAGAATGGCAATACAGATATCGACACCACCAAGTGCACTTGAATGCTCGCATATTTCAGGGAGACGCTGAAGCTCTTTTGTTGTCGTTCGATGACCTTGGCACTCGTGTCTACTAACGTATGTTTGTACTGCGAAACGATCACGATTCGTGATAACCGGCTAGTGTAGCCATGGTCTGTCCGAATGCATGGGCAGTGGTCGCTATTTTTCACACCGCCAGCTCACGGGATGCTTGTTAAGCGACTTGATGGCCAGTACAAGACGTAACCAGACCAATGCCTCTGGATAGAGTACGAATAAAGAACGGCAGCACCAGAAAATTTTATTGGAAGATTCATAGGAAATTTATATAGGCACAGTACGGAATGGAGTTCTATAGTATGATCTAAGTATGTCAGTATTTCGTGCGAGGTAGAGTACAATTGAGAATATAGAGGGCAAAAGGTGAGACATTACGGTCGTGTTCATCCACGACGGTTCGAATTGAACTGCGTCACAATCCTGTCGTTTTCTTGTCAGACGATGATCTATCCCACCATCTGGAACTCACTTTTCGATTTGTCGGAAAAACCATTCCCGACTCTTCTGGTCCGGTAAAGGTATGAAAGGACCCGAGGTGCCCCCTTGCCTGACGAGTTGAATGCCAGAAGGCTCCAGTGCGATGGTTTGTAATTCAGACAAGTGAATGTCAAACACGACCCGAAGTCTGCTGATGCGGATCTGTAGGATTCGCACTGTGGAAATCAGCACCGCCTCATCTTGAGAACGTAGATCTGTCCAAACTATGAGTAATGCTCCATATTCTCCAGGCTGAGCCACACACCGATATGAGCTACATATTGCTCATCAAAGTACCTTCCTTCCTCTACATCCTTCAGCCATGACTGGCCAAAGGCTTCGCGCTGAGAATACGGCACCAAGATCCCATCTGATGGAATGTAGCGTGGAAGTCGCACTCGATCGAGGTCATTCTGGTCAAAGACAGTGGTTGTGTTGCGTATGCCTTCGCTGACGTTGGAAGCAAGGTCAAGTACACCAACAACGGGTTTAGTCACAGCACTATGCGGACGTGTAAGAATGCAGCTGGAGTGAATTACGCATACGCAGGCCACGTACCCGACAAGACCCTTTCCAATACCTTTAAAGAAGCCAACTGCGCCTCCCGTCTCTGCACCCTCGATGGGTCTGAGGGCCAGCCCTTCGAAGCCACTAGCAACGCTAGACGCGAAAGCACTAGCCCCAGCTGTGACGCCGTACAAAGCATGTTTGGGTTTGTTCCGTCTTAGTGTGAGTCGTCTGCGGCTCTGGAACTCCGAATCGAAAGTGGCAGCGGAAAGACCCTTGCCAATACTGCTTGTAATCTTGGTAACACTGTCGCTGACGCCAAAAACAGTTTTCTTCACAAAACTGGTTGCGCCTCGTGCTATGCCAATACCGATTTCTTTATTCCCGTGCATCACGTAGCCCTGGTAAGGCTCGTAGAAAATATCTGCGACGCCAGAGCTCAAGTTTGAGAATAAACCAACCGGATTTCCAAGCAAGTCGGCCGATCCCAACACCCGATATAGTTGGGTGAAAAATCCCTCTTGGTAGTGATAAACGATGCGGTCTTCAAGGACGGGAATCGTGGATCGCATGTTCTCAATTACTAGGGCATTTAGTTGAATCGGCGCCATGTTCACATTTCCGAGAGCCATGGTCAGTGCGTTAATGAAGAAAGCCACCGGATTTCTCGTGCTTTGCCTATTTGCCGTTGTGAGTGGGATGCGACCTCAGGATAGAATTGCTCACTTTTCATCCACATTCACGCGGTCAGTACGCATAAAAGAAAGCTCTAGGGAAACAGGCTGCAGATGGAGGATTTCGAAGTACATGTCAAGACCGCCTTTGGGCTCTGTGGCGTCCGGGATATCCCCAGGTTGTTCAATCAAAGTGCTGTATTCCAAGTCAGACAAACATCAATGCGACAAGGTCATGACGTACTCCTGTACCTCTGACTCCCATGATGCGCCTCGGAACTTAGAAAACTCGATCAAAGCATAGAGGAAGTCTTCGTCCAATTCAATAGCCATGGATTGTAACAAAATTGAAGCATATTGCACAAAAAGCACGCCATGAGCTGTCGATGTTTGAGAATCAACGGAGACGTCGAAGATGTCATTGACTCACCTTTGTCCTTGAGGAGAACGGCGGACAATTGGAGGGCGGGATGAACATCGAGTTCCTTCCCAGCGTGCGGAATAGATGTAGGATATAGTATGATCGGATATATGCCTCCATACAATTGATTGTCAACTTGGATCCACTTGAGGGCCACGTTGACAGACTGCGCCGTCGTAGAATCCATGTACTGGACGTCAAGGCCACGAAGGGTTACGTAGACGAGCTCTTGCAGTTTCCTGGTAACGATTGACAAACCCATGCCTTCCAACTGAATGTTGATTGTAAACGCAACAACGGCCTCCTCTTCGACGGCTTCAAACCCTGCGTCGCGGGAAGACAACGTGCTGGAGCTCGAATTCTGCCTCTTCGGCTTGTACAGACTGTATTCTTCCTCATAATTCGAAATTACTAGGGTCTGTGTCGGACCATCCGCTCGTATGTCCAACGAGACCGCCCCAGAGGCTCGATCGGAAATCTGAAGCTGATCAATCTCTAGGACGGTCCGACCTTGGATGATACGCACCGGAAATTTGAATGGAGGTAGCGCGCCCATTTCCATGATGTCAATATTGCGATCCTTGCCGTTGATGAGCAGCTTTATGAACTTGTCTCGCGCAGCAGGTTGATCCCAAGCATATTGCTCCCGCGAGTGCGGTCTCACTTCATACGAGTTGCGCGTTGTTCCTACCCGAGTTTCTCCATCGATACCTGTTCGCACACCATCCACTTGGCAATATGTGACTGAATAATCGCTGTTATTCTCGATAGCGAAGGGCCAAACACCTGTTTCTCGATTGAGGATTATGAATATCGTCGAACCGTCGAGCAAAACGTCAGCGCGAATAAGGTGTCGTCTCATGACTTGATCCGGTGGAGTGAGGCGGAAGTGCACCTTGCCGATATCTTGAATGTTGATAGGGGCTGACCATTCGGCATTCAAGCCACTGTAGGCAAATGTGACTAACTTGTAGTTGGTCGCGGCTTTCAGTGACGTTAAAGCAGCTCGCTGGCCAGGTTGGACTGAGACGCATTCATAAGATCGATGTTCACGGAAGTTGATCTGCATGGACAGATTATTCCGGATCAAGAACCGTGGCGCTACAGTAATGACTTTCGTGAGCTTGTACTACAGGGAATGGGTCAGTAGAGGTTGGAAAGACACGTCAACATACACTTGCCTTGCCAAGCCCTTCTGAGTATGACAATCCGATATGTGTCTCATCGTTTCCGGAAATGGAGGGAATGACGACCTCTGTGTCAGCTTTGACAGCTTCAAAGCTTAGCGGCCTGGACCAATCAGAATCGGCAATCTTCAGCAAACAACGGTTGCGTCGATCATCTGTACCCTGCGAGAACACTATAAAGAATGTGAGCATAGTCTTGTCGGAAGCACAGCTCGCCTTACTGAACGGTGAGGCATCTTGACCGACAGCAGCGGCTGCAGGAAACGTCAGCGGTTCACAATCACGCGCAAGTCTACTAGGGGCTCACGTGGTACGAGTTGCCCGACGTCACGGACAGCACCGAGGAAGCCTCGAGAACGTAACTGGATAGGTAACCCAGTCTTGTTGAGGAGGATGTAAGGGCTGTAAATCTGTACTTTGAATGCCCCCCCAGAGTCGGGATATCGATAATAATGGATGTATACATCCCGCCTCGTGTTCTGCTGATCGGTGACCGGCAAGAGGTTTTCTATGCTGAAGTCCTCTGTATCCGTATTGATGATGGCAAATTCGCTTGGTTTGACTCCTGCATCCTGAATATCGATGCTCAACAGAAGCAGGTGGCTGAGCTCTACGACATGGACCGGACTGATGCCGCCATGTCGGAGGAAACTGCTCCAATTTTGACTGGTGTTCTTATCGAACACTCGGTACTTCAGGTCAAACGGCAGAAGATTCTCCAATTCTACCGGAGCTCGCAGTGTCAGCGTCATTTTAGGGTATACTCTGCTCATATGTGAATTCTAAGAGCTGACGGTTACTCATTCGCTGACCTGGTTACTGGGTCGCTCTTGTCAAAAGAAACGAAGGCCTGGAAGCGGAAAGGTGCGTCAGACGTATTTTGAGCACGGCACACAATTGATCGCGCATTGCGTTTCATCAGATCTTGCCAGTAAAAGCTCTCGGACGACCACGAATACTCGAAACCCGCTGGAGAGACATGAGAGCATGACCTTAGATGGCCAGTATTGACTTACGATCCGGTCTCAAGCGAATGCGATTGTGCACAGCCGCCTCGATGGGCAAGCAACAGCTTTCTCCAGGTGCTAGACTATATATGAGACTAGTTTGGAGGGATAGATACGAGAGACCTACGAATCTTGAAGACCGCAGAAGCTGGTTTTCCGTTCCCATCAATGATGATTAGCTCAACGGGTAGCTGCGTGTAATTCTGTACTTTGTAGGTCGAGCGGAAGATCACGACCTTCACGTTGTCTTGGACGACGACTTCGCATAAAAGCCGATGTGAGACCTGATGGAGTTTGGGCTTGAGCACATAGCTAGTTTGGCCCTCAGAGTCGACCGATATGTGACGAAGTGTCTCCCAAGGTCGATCTTCGAACTGGACAGCAAAAGAGTTGCGCTTTGTATCCGAGACATGCTGTTTGAAGTGTCAATTCAGTCAATCCAACGGAAACCCATTAATCCATACCTCTCGCAGAGTCCGCCAGTCCTCAAATCGCCAAGGCTTGTCTTGTCCATCTTCAATAGTAACGGCCTCCGATGGATTTTGATTGCGGCCAACAGAATCTGACCATACGTGAAGGCGGTAACCAGTCCGATTGCGGACAAAGTAAGGCGCATCACTTCCACGACTTCGCTTGGACAGACGATCACCTTCCTTGTTTATAGCAGCCACCTCGCTGAATCCCGTCTCAATGAACGCAGCGGTAAGATTAACTTCTAGGCGTTCTTTGGACAGTAAAGAAAGGACCATTCCCGCGGCCTCGTCGCCTTTCGTCGCCTTGATGGAGAATGACCATGGCTCTAGCAACGGTTCCCAGTGCGAATTGGCCAGATTATAATAGCGAGTGCTGGTCGAAATTGTGCCCAGTGCTTTCAACTGCATGTAGCAAGTCAACATACATAATTGAGAAGGAATGAGTTACTGACATCACCGGACCAGTCTTGAGCAGTAAATACAAATGATTTGGTATCCATGTGAAGCAGAGGGAGTTCATGTATATCTCCGATAAGCACAAGTTGGAAACCGTCAAAAGTAGCTTTCAACTACTCAAATGTCAGAATAATGCTCTGGACAACGAACCAGTCATCTGACCTGTTCTTTCGCTAGTAACACCTGCGGGCGCCTCGAAACAGAGTGGCGTGATGATTTGGACGCATTTGCCTTGTGGGACCTCCGGGTGCCAATTGCTTGAGACGATCTCCTTTGAGTCGTACTGATATATCCGGATCTTGATGCGCTTCGCTGTTTTTCTGCTTTTTCGGCCTCGGATTTGTCTTGAAGCTCCATCGCTCTGGTGAATATGGAGGTGATCAGATTGATGTCACGGTACGATGCACGGAATATGATCGGCTGAATGGTGGTTTCAATGCTGGTCATTTGTCGTCCTTCTGCAGCTCGTGAATCCATGGTTAAGGTGACATCGATGTCGTCCAAGAATCGCACTCGCTCCGAGGCCTTATCCATGCGTCCAAGTGACATGCCCAGACGTTGCATGTTCAGGGCAAGGATCGCCTGCACAGTGTCAATTCCTGCACACACAGATAATTATCCCCTTTACCTGTTTTGAGACCATAATCTCCTTGATAGACAGTTGTATTGACTGCGTAGACGGATCGCTGTCGCTGTCTAACACGATGATGGCAGCATTGACAATGTTGAGCCTGAAGGACAGTTCACCAACCCCTGCGGACGGAGATTCTGTGCCTGCTTCAGGACCAATAGTCTGGTCGTCCGGGAGACTGTGTGATCCTGATGGCCTGCTTGGGCTCGAAAAGAAGTCGAGGAGTGCAAAGACGGGATCTACTGCAAATATGATTTGAGGGCTGTCCACAGTAATGATGGCCATTGATACAGGCTTGATCCCACTAGCTCTCGTATAGTGGAGCATTACTTGCCGTCCGTTGTGCTTGGCGGCGGGGATCATCTCCCTGAATCGAGTTGAACCCGCTCGCAAATTTGTCATCACCAGCGAGGTCAGGACCACTTCAGATTCAATCGAGCCGTCCGACATCATCTTCAGCCGGCAGGATGTGCCATTCATGGAAAAACTGGCGATACCGCTACTTTGCAGCTCCTCTTTCCTTGTCGCCTTGCGATCGTATAGCTGCAAAGTGACAGCTGCTAGATCAAGTGATACTGCTAATTTCGTCCACAGACGGACAATGCCGTTTCCTTCACTCCTCCCCACTGAGCCGAGCTCGGGACCAAGGTCAATGAGGAGTTGTTGAGGTTCTTCTGCTTCTGCATGCGGCGAGACATTGCCCAGAGAACTTCCAAGGGACTGTGATGCTGTAATCAGGCGATCATCGACGTCCTCTTCCGTGTCAAACACTTGTGGCAGATCTTGCAAAATGGACATGTGGACCAAGTATTGATTCTGAGTTAAGTTGACCTTGACGTCAGATATCTTCAACGTGACCTGTGATAATTGTTCAGATTCTGAGCTGCAACACCCTGCTGTGAAGTTCACCTTCGTATCGGGGCGCTTCACATCAAGGTCGTGATTTGGATTTTCCACTTGCTCCGCGTCCGCAGATAAGTCTACGCCCTGGATGATTTCCAACTGTTTATCTTCAGGATAGTCATGCAACTGTGACAGGACTTTGATGCCAAATACGCCGGCATTGATCGAAGATATGTCTGTGCCAAATGTATTATTTGCAATGATTTCTCCGAGCTTGACAATCAGAGAATTTGACGACTGGCTTGCGTCACTCGGTAGCACCAAGATTGGAGTTTGTATGACAACATCAAACTTCATGCGTTGGATCTCGGAGGCTCGTTGAACAGCTGCCTGAGTTGCAGAATCGTAGAGTGCCTTCAACCGGGCAAATTTGATGAGGAATCGGTAAATCCTATTCAACGGATTGACGACACAGATGAACTTCAATGATCCTGCCCTTAGCCGGACGGCAGAATTGTACCCGGGGAAAGTTTCTTTATCCGTCGGATTGAACGTTTCGTAGCTGAAATCGGCAAAATTATCACCTTCAATCGATAGTAGCTGCTTGAAAGATGGAGACACGGTGACGAAGTCAGTATCGTCAGTGATGGACAAGTTCCCCAATCGCGCCCCTATCCTTATCCCACTACCACCCACGAAAAGAGCTACATCGGCGGCGGACAAAGAGAGGGTCGCAATCGGAGAAGTAGCACTATTGATCAGGGCCACTGCACCCCCTATGAGAGAACTGCATCACTACAAGATGGACAGTGCTTACGGTCAACGCTCGTCAACTTGACGCGAATTTTGATTTTGCCTGGATTAGCAACCTCAGGCTGGGGTTCAGGAGGCGGCGGGGGAGCTGGTACGACAGGTGCTACATCGCTTAAATCTTCATCCATGTCCATAACGTCGGATGGGATTTCGCTGAGCAGCGACGCTGGTCTGGTGGTGGCTTTGGACGGGACAAAGGTTGTCATCAGGAAATCGTACATAGTGAGGATGGGTTCCGGTTGTACGGCGAAGTTGAATGTCGACAACTCAACCCCTATCGTCTGATCGACACCTTCATATACGGTCATGTATTCTGGTGAATCTTTTTGCACACGAGTGTACTTGATCCGCATGAGCTCGCTAGGCGATCGTTCGTTATTGGATTGTGAGGTAACGAGCTGCAATGGTTCTGCCCCCGTCTCCATCATCTTCATTGAGACGGAGTGCAGTACAATGTCGACCAGCATACTCCACTTTGTTTGGGCAAATCCCAGATCAAATCCTTCCAATACAGCGTCCGCGATAAGCTTGTCCCGTTGGCCTGGCAGCGCCTTGAACAAGGAGGTTTGGAGTTTGCCGACCTTGAAAGAAAACTCGAATAAATGTTGTTTTATCTGCAGTTCTCTCTGGAGTATGGTTGAATAGTCTTCTTCGGAAATGGAGACTAAAAACTCACTTCTGGATCTGGCCCTTCGGCTTCGAAGAACTTGTCGCCATTGTCCGGACTCTCCGTGGACTCTGTTGCGGAATCGTCGACGATATAATCTAATTCGTCTGGCTTCGTGAAGATACCAGATACTGCTGCGGGTCTTTCGATTTTGACAGGTCTGATGGGTGGCCGTTGTGGTTGAATCGCTTGTTGGCCGCCTCCAAATCTAGGAATAGCAATGTCCAGGAATCGCATGAGCCGCTGGTATTTCGTGTTGGATACATTGACTTTCAGCTCTGGAAGTTGACCAGCCACCTTGAACCGAGTCAAGAATGGTGCGTCGGGTAAAATGCAGTTCTGAACGGAGAAATCGATGTTGATTCGCTCCACTACATGGAGCTCGACCTCTCCCTCACCATGCTCTGAGAGTGCCGACATGCACGAGGATAGATCGGGGCCGATCAGGAGCTGGGCGGATTGGAGCTTCAAGAAGAAACGATCGTACATGAGGGACTCCAGCTGTTTATAGTCTTCTTCGCTGTATTGCTGGGAACGTTTCGCGTCAATTTCTGCTAGCTTGCTCTTTTCTACGAGATCGCTTTGGATCGCAATGTGGCCAGCATCCAAAATCATATGTGCACATTGTTTAGCCGTGACGCTAAGAAGGTCAGAAGTGAGGTTTTGTTCCATGTAAAGAGAACGTACTCTTCGGGTATGATGATGATAGGGGCATTCATGTCCATACGGATATCAAGTGTTTTATGCTGCTTGAGGGCATATTCTAATCCAGCTCGTGTCTCCTTCTGCAAGCCTTCGAGAGTGGTACTGGCGACGTCCTATGAGATTGTCAGCCCTATTCATCAACTTCCTGAAGGTCGCTCACGATCAGGGCACCGATTGTCTCCAATTGACTCGGTGGTGGTCGGAAAAATTCAAATATCGCCTCCACATAGCCCCGATGGTAAATGATCTCCATATACCGCATCCTGACGGTGAGTGCGCTATCCGCCCTCTCGTCAAGCGGGTTTTGCTCAAACTTGGCGAAGAAGAAGGGGTCTTCTGTATCTGTAACCTTGCTCAGTTGGTTACCAGCTTCTTCCTGCTCTTTCGAATCGATCGCTTTGCGTTGTTGCTCCTTGACGCGTACAATCTGGGGATAGACGGAGTTCGACAACGTTGAGTCATACACAGATAGACCCCCGAGCGCGAGAACAAATTCCATATTCTCCGGTCGCTGGATGAGATCCGAACTCAACGAGTCGAACACGAGGGATATTATGTCACTACCAGCTCGCCGGAGGGCGAAAGTTCCCCGCGTCAAACGCGCAGACACGCGCATCTTCATGACATCCCGCGGAAGGTCGATGCTTTGGGCGATGACGTCCTTGTCCGAGTACTCGATCGCATCGTAAAGCTCCTTGCGCTGCTCATCGTCCAGAGTCGCGGAGGGTTCTTCCTCTTCAGCAGCGGTGGTTGTCGCGGCAGTCGTGCCCCACATCCAGCCAAACCACCCTCCAGACGCCGCGGACGCGGGCTGAGCCGGTTCTGGAGGTGCTGCAGCTTTTTCCTCTTCTTCCTTAGCTTTCATCTCGGCTCGCTCTTTCCGCAACTGAGAACGAGCGATGGAGCGGTAAAATCGGATGTCCTCGTAGGACAACTTTTTCTCCAGGGCGTTGAAGTCATCGAGTTCCTGCGCATATAATCAGGAATTTATCAAAGATACGGAGGAGAAATGAACGCACAGGAGCTACGAACGAGGGCTGCGTGCACTTCTTCTTGAACAGATCAACATACTTATGCCTTTCGTCTCTCCTATTCTTGAAAAATTCCCACGTCCATTGATATTGTTTGTCATGCACCTCAGCCAAGATCGACGTCTGCGCGAATTTCCACATAGCACGGCTCTTACTCTCGTCAAATTCGTCCTGCAATGGTCGGTACTTGCGGTACTGATACTGCCGTGTATAGAAGTGGAAAAGCTCGCCAACAGAGAGCACGTCACGCCACTGCTTGTCGTCCAAGTTGAGGCCAATCTCCTCAAACAGCACGGTCGCGTCAATACGTGGCTCCTCAGCCGAGGGCCGATGTGACATCACCAACTGTGCGGTATTGAGCGGAAGGAGCACTCGAGGACATGGATTCGCATACCTTCGCCTCTCCCGTTACCGGCTTCAACACATACTGATGATCCGGTGTCTGTCCCTGTCTCGCGATCATCTCGTCTAGCTTTTCCGGTCCTTTGCCCAGCATGCTCGTCATATCCGTATCAAAATAGATCGCCAAGCTCTCGAGCTTGGACAGCTTGTGGATCGCCCCAAACGAGCCTTCGATGAACGTCTCCATCCAGTTCTCGTTCGTAGAAACAGCTAAAAAACCAGCAAGGGTGATACCCGCTGCAAATGGGTGCTATTAGGTTATCAGTTGTGCGTAAAACGCATACACACGCAGAACCCACCGCTGGCACAGACAGCTTGTCCTCATATCGTATATGCACATTCTTGACCGTAATCTGGAGGTTGTTCAAGATGCGTGTTGAAAGCTGAGAGATGAACGTCTGGTTCTTCGCCTCGTCCTCTGCTGCATGTCAACCCTTGTTCCACTATATCAGCGCATATCAGCGAACCGGGGGACAGCTCCTCCTCGCCACTCCTAAGCCTTAACAGTTCTGCATTCTCTAGCTTCTCTTGCTTCGCAGCTTGCTCTCTTCGCTCATCCTTTTCAGGGTCGACCTTGGACTCTGCAGCAGGGACAGCAATCAGGTACACATTCTCGATAGCCACCGCAACCGGTTTTCCTCGCAGATTATTCCAAGGCACCGACAATCTAAATTCTCCCAAATACCCTGTCATCCGACGATCAGTAAGTTGCTACATGACTCACAACTACACACAGCATACCTTCGACAACGTCTACAGGTAATCGGAACTTATCCAAGGCCTCCCGCTTGAGCTTGAGGTTACGCAACTTGACCTCGCCCGACCAGATGCCAAAGTTCATCTGGCTGGTGTTAAGATTCTCGACATAAGGGGCGAGAAATCGGTTGAGAAACTATGTAAGCAGATTTGTCAGTAAGTGCTCGTGTGCATCAGAGGACGGAAGGACGCACCGTCTGGAGAACCGACTCGAGGACCATCTTGGTCCTCCTGTATGGATGTTCGCTCGCAACGAAGTGTCGCTATCCAATACTCCGCGCAGACTATGTACGACCTCCTAGAGAAGAAGATGACCACAGACAGACGTACAGAGTAGACAGAAATGGGTGCGCAGTTGATGTTGAGCTGGTCACATACGTCTCTGCGACGTGTGGGGTGCGTGCGTCATAGGGTCGAGCGGAGGGCATCGTCCGGGGCTGTGCAGGTGGCTGTGTTACGTAGCAGAAATAGATGTTGCCGATTTTAATTGTTCCAAACGACCACGATGATCTATTACACATGTTACAGCTGGATTACTCAATAGTTAGCATCTTGCAGCGACTGCAAAATGCTGTGGCATGAGAGCTGGGTGGCTCCACCTCGTGGTCAGGAGTCAATCAGCATACTGTCGAATTCCCCCTCAACACGCGGGTACTTCAAACTCGTCACGATTTGAATGGTCTGGTTCCCCGCGATCAGGTCTTCTCTCCGAATCCCCAGTTCCCATACAGCTTCTCCGGGACTGTATGCCGCTTTTTCCCCTCAGGAACAGCGCAAGACCAAATCGGACTCTATTAGATCATTCCAGGCACAAATCAGAGAATTGATCAGGAAAACAGACATAGCACACTGCTCCCTATCCTCAACTTCGAACGAACAGGAATGGAGGATCAATTCACCAACGAGTGGACAAGGGACGGCGATGTGGAACCCAATAATGCATCGGCGGCGTCGTCGGCCATGCAGGGGGACCGCAAGGGTCGCCAGCGTCAGATCGAAGAAGTTCAGTTGAGTTGCAAGGTTGATGCACCGTTGCGACAGATTGGAAGTAAATTGCGTGGGAGAGGACTGAGTGCGTTTGTATGCAGGATCTCGGGTTGGTTGACTTTTTCAGGAGATGAGTCCAATCCCGTGAACTTGCGCGATTTTTGCTACAGAGAGACTGGCAGCCCGTGCCTCGATTGCGGGAGACCACATCGTATTCACGATCGTCAATTCGCAGTACGATCCCATCGGAGGCTATAAACTTGCATGAGAATTCTTCATGAAACAGCCTATCTCGGGGTAACTTCCCCGCGGTTTCCAACCGCCCTCCATCCATCCTAAACTGGCCTAGAACAGGATGCCTTTACACCCTGTTGGAAAGTGTCAGCGCAACGCCGAGTCCTTGGGTCACCTGTCGCCACAAGACCCAAGAATAGCTTATCGGGCGAAGAAAGGGAAACAGGCGAAGGTTCTATGCCGTTATCTCGGATCCCATGGGTCCAAGAGGGCCTCTGTCAGTAACTTCTTAGCTTACTCCCCGCAATCGCTGGAGAATCGGTCAGGAGGTGGTTGTGAAGAAGGGAAGACGGGAGAAGTTCAGCTGGTGCGCGTTGCATGTGGCAGGAGGAAGCAGAAGGGTGCGACTGGTCCCTGAGCGGTCTTCTCTCTCCCCATCGTGGACTTTTGGCCATTCAGTCCGGCTGATGAGATGCTTGGCACGATCAAGGCGGGGTTGTAAAAGTATATGGGAGATCTGAACAAACAACAATTTATATGATAAAACTGAGATATCGGTTTGCCTATCGTGTATTGCGCTATCGTGGAAAGGTGGTGGTTCCAGGTACAAGAGGACCCTTTGGGCGTGAAAGGGTTGAGAGATGTCCCCATGATCCGAGCGCTGTCCCCTTCACTCCATCATCAACGTCCACAATCTCTTACTTGCCCTGGACAGCGAACAACTCTAGTACTCCAGAAGAGGAGGAAAGGGAGTTAATAACCTGCTCAGCTTTACTACGATTCCCTGGGCTCTTTCATTCCCTCGACTTCGAAGGCTCTTCGCGGCTTACCACCACCCCCAGTCTTTCAAGCGTTCTTTCGCTATACTACAGCTTATCATGTCCCTTCCACCACTCACCGCACCCCCACCTTCCTCCTCTCTTAACCCTAACAGCACCTTCATTACCCGCACCGCCTCAACCCTTTACCTCGGTTCTTCACCCTATGTTGTCGCGGGACCGAACATCTACTGGCTAGGGATAGACGAGAATGACCCTCCAGGATCGGTAACCTATCCTTCCCGACAGCGCGTACTTGAGGTACTCGCAACAGCATATGCGATGGGTGCGAACACCGTGAGGAGCACGACGCTGGGAGTGAGCGTGGGGTGTGACCTGTGTGTTTGGCCCAGGCTGGGGGTGATCAATGGTCAAGCATTGCAAGTGGTCGATTTTGCAGTATGGGCAGCGAGGCTCTATGGGCTCAGACTCGTCATCCCCTTGGTAGATAACTACGAGTACTACCATGGCGGCATTTGTATGTCCCCCTTTCCTTCCTCCTTCCAAGCTGACGCCGTTCTAGACTCCTTCCTCCAGTTTCACAACCTCTCAACAGACGACTATTCCCCGTTTTACGATACCTCCTCAGCTGTGTACGACAGCTTCCTCGCCTACATCACCACCATCCTCAACCACACAAATCCATATACGGGGGTACGCGCCGTCTCCTTCTCCTCTCCCTAATGCTGATCACCCTCAGCTCCGCCTCTCGCAAGACCCCACCATCCTCGCCTGGGAATCGGGGAACGAATTGGGTGGGTGGGGCGGTTCCGGTGCACCTGCGAGTTGGACAGCCGCCCTAGCACAGTTTGTGAAATCGGACTTGGGCGCGAAGCAGTTGTTCATCGATGGGAGTTACGGGATCGTCAGAGACGCGCTGGGGATCGGCCAGGTTGATATTGTGTGAGTGAATTTGCGCTTCTGTTACGCAAACCGCGAACAGAGCGCCGATCGTCGACCGATTCTAATTTATGCACAGGTCAAACCATCACTACCCGCCATATACCTCCAAGCTCTTCTCCGACGCACGTACCGCGCTCGCGGCTGATAAAGCCTACCTAGCCGGTGAATTCGATTGGGTCTCACACGGCTCCTCTCCCCGGATGTGGGCGCTCGTTGCCGGCCCCGCTCTCCTCGCACTGCTCGTGTTCGCCCTTCCCGGAAGGTGGTTTCCTTGGCCAATCCGATATGGTTGTTTGTATAGGGAGAAGCGAAAACGCGCGGGGAGCGCGGAAGGTGTAGGGGTGGGAGCAGGAGGGGCGAGGCAGATGGAGATGGCCGACCAGCCAGAGACAGATGCTGAAGATTCTCCCCCTCCGCTCCGCTCCTCTCCTCCCCCCTCCTCTCGCCCCGCATATCCCGAGCTCTCTCCGAGAAACAAGATGTCCCGCCCGTCATACAAACGCCAGGATACAGAACGAGCCGAGCGCTGGCGGCTGTTCGAAGACGGTGCGGAGGGGAAGATGCCTTTTCTCGAGAGGATCGGGACGGGCACTGGGATGCCTTTTTCTCCACCACCTGCACCTCCGTCATCCGCCGCCCCGCCGGTGGGGAGCCCTCCCGGAAGCCCACAGGGACGTGCCAGCCGCCTCTCGCAACACACGCCCCGATCTCCTTCCCAATCCGGAACCCACTCCCACTCGCACCACATCCCTCCAACCACTCCAAAACGGCCCCTATACACGCCGACAGCATCGTACCGCTCCTCGCACGCACGCACACCATCTCCCCTACCCAGCCTATTGATGTCCCTCAAGCCTCTGCCCGCAGAACGAGAGCCACATACCTTCCTCTTCCGAAAATGGCATTTCGCTCTCGTCATCTTCCTGCTCCTAACTCCGGCCGTTGCGCTGCTCCTCCATTTCCTACTGCCAAGCACGATAAGCAGCTTCACCTCTGCTCTTGCCTCCACACCTGGTGTCTCAGGTGGTCTCTACTGGTCCCTGTTTGGGCACACAGACACCTGTACCTCATACGTCTACCATGGGGATGGGTACTGGCTTGTCTACCCCGGGCAAGGGGGGTTCATGAGCTACCGCGTGGGGCAGCTCGTGGTTTGGGAACGCGGAGTAAGCGGGTACGGTCTCCAAGCATGGGGAGATGCTGGAGAACCGACGGTAGCGTGTAAGCAGGCAGTGAACTTATCGTTATTGCCTAATGTGAGCATGGGTGCTGGGTAGGAGACCCTGCGGGCTGGGCGAATGAGGGAGAGGGTTTGTTTTGTTTGGGATTTGGGCGGGCGATTTGATTTTGGGACCATTGTAGTATTTTAGCATCCTTGCATTAAATTATTCCGCATCCTGATCTGTCAGGAGATCTATGCCTCTTGACATCATCTTTTGATCACAGCCGAGTATCACCGACATCGGAGATAATTGTTTCTGGTGGTGCCGCCGAGGACGTACGCGGCGTCGTGCACCTGCTGACGGACGACGAGCAACCCACTAGTAATCTGCTCGGCGGCCACTATCGACGACGTTTGTCACATACGGGTCTGTCATCAACGCTCTGCTGGTCTTTAAAATCTACTTCGTGCATGTGCCAGCAGGACTGGGTCTGATTGCTGCTTGACTGCATACCTCAAGGCGGCGTCGACAGCAAATTATTCACGGGTTGCTCGCTTGCGTGGACCAAGCATTCACCGTGATGCTCGCCCAGGTCGTGCGGTGCAAGCCGTTACGCACCGTTCGCGCCCCTCTGCCGCGCGTCCTATCTACTTTTGCCATCCTACGACAAGCCCACGTCCTCCAACTACACCACCGACATCTGAGCACAACCCTAACTCTCTTCTTGCCACGCGACCGGCACCCCACACACCTACACAACCTCCTTACAAACAAGTACGGTTTTTGTCCATCCTGCGAGGCACCTTACCTCCTCGCACTCCCAATATGTGCCGAATGTGGAAACATCGGCGTCCTACCCCCCCGTGTGAACTACTTTGACCTGTTCGAGCTGGAGAAAGATCCAAGGCGAGGGGCGTTCGACTTGGATGAGAAGATCCTCAAGCAGATGTATCTCGGGATGCAAAAGATATGTCATCCGGATGCGTGGAGTACGAAGAGCGAGGTATGTCTGCGAACAGGGTTCGGACGTCTGTACTGATCCTCGTGCAGGAGGAAAGAAAGCGCGCGGAGGACATATCATCTATCCTGAATACGGCATACAGTACCCTCCTGACGCCATTATCCCGAGCGCAATACATAGTAAGTCACTTACATCCCACTGTCAAACAAAGATCTCATGCGTACTTGAGCTTTCACAAAAAGGGATAGACCTCATGGAGACCGATTCCCTCGGTCAGGATCACTCCGAGTTTCTAGCCCAAGTGCTCGAGACCCGTGAGCTGCTGGAAGGGCCTCTGAACTTCCAGGAGCTGGAAGCGATCCGGACGCGGAACGACGATCGGGCGACGTATACTGTTGAACGGCTCAGTCAGCTATTTAGAGAGGGCAACTGGGAACAGGCCAGAGAAGATGCGATCACGTTGCGCTACTGGCAGGGGATTGAGGATGCGGTCAAGGAACGGTTGAGCGAGTGAGAGGTTGGGGAATGGGGATGCGGGTCTGGTGATGGCGCGGGGTTTATTGGGGGATGTGAGCTCTTTGTCGTAGGAGCCTACTTGCTGCGGCTAGATCTGACAAAGGAGACACGAATCATTGGGTTACTGTATATCCCATCAGCGATTGGATGCCACACAGCCAAACGGCAACTCCGAGCACAGAAGGACAACTTCTCCCCAACGCCGAAGGGCCAATAATATCCCGGTACCCCCAATTAACCATGTTTTCCCGGAAACCCCACTTCGCACGCACTTCGCACTTAAACAAGAAAAGTCCCCGCACTCGGCGTCTTCCCGTCCAGATCCCATCATTCTGATAAGTCTGCCGACTCGCATGATGCTCGGTCGTCGAGACCTGACCGTAACTAGTACTAGTACTAGTATGATTCGCCGCCTTCGTGGGGGCCCAAGTCCTCGAACTATAAGATGCCCTCTCTTGTCAAAGGGGAAGGGTGGGATACCCCTTCCCTCTAACCTGTGTCTACCGTGTATATTCACTTCCCGGCTGGCCCGCTCGTCGCACACCGCACACATCCAACAAACCCAAACCCAAACCCGAACTGAAATTGAAGTTGCCCCCTCTTGTGACTCGAAAGCCAATGTCCGCCCCAGTAACCCTAGCTACCAAAGTGCTCGTATCTGGTCCGTCCCCCCCCCCCCCC